AAAATCTTATCTTTATTACAGTCTGCTGCTGGCTCTGCCCCTGGTCTACCTGCTTTGCTGACATCATCAGAAGTGTTGAACAAAAGCCAATCACAATACTTTCCCATAGGATTGGCTGAGACTGTCAAGGATGCAGATCAGGGGCAGCATAGGTCAAACACAGCCCTGGCCAATCAGCATCTCCTCTTAGCAATGAATTGAATCAATGAATCTCTATGAGGAAAGCTCAGTGTCTGCATGCAGTGGGAGGAGATACTGAATGGCAGTCACACTGTGCAGCACTGCGGTAGTGGTTATGGTGCCTTGAGTGTTCCTTTAAGACAAAAATACCAGAGAATCCAGAATCACTAGCTATGTTGGATTTGATTTTTCACAGTAGCTTGTCAACTAATCCCTGAGTGCTGTCTAATTATTATTATTATTATTATTATTATTATTATTATTATGATATTTACAGAGCGCCGTCAAATTCTGCAGCGCTTTACAATGGGTGGACGAACAGACATGTAGTTGTAACCAGACAAGTTGGACACACAGGAACAGAGTGGTTGAGGGCCCTGCTCAATGAGCTTACATGCTAGAGGGAGTGGGGTAAAATGACACAAAAATTAACTAATGAATAGATCATTCTTTGTTAAAACTGTGTAATAGTTTTAGCTACTTATTTTTCCACCGTACAGCTCTCCTCCTTCCTATCCATATTTTCAAGTAATCAACTGGGAAAATAAATAATAAATTGAGGCGAAATTATGCAAATCTGTCCCAGACAGCTGCTTCGTTAGGTGTGAGACTTTGGGAAGGCGAATGATTCCTTCTTAGAGCCGCGACCTTTAAGTTGCGTTTTAAGCTATTTAAAATAAGATTGTTTTTGGAGTAAGCATGGCTGACAGTACATGTCTCTAAGGAAATACGTACAATACAGGAATAAAGGAATTAAAAGAATTATAATTTCTCCGGTTTGAGACTTCAGTCTATTTTACATCTTAAAGCGGCACTGTCACACCGAAATTACCTTTCCCCAATCATTTCCTGTTCTCTTCCTCTCTCAGAATCTTTTCTTGTTATCTGATCTAGATTTCTGTAAAACAAAGGACAAAGTAGGGGCTATTTTGTCTTGTGTAATTTTCCTAGTTTTTATTTGTCTTGTGTATTTTTCTTATATTTCCTTTGTCCTGTGCATTTTTCCTATGCCTGACATTCTCTGCCATTTCCCTCCACAATACTTACCCTCCTCCATGACCTTTGCTTCCTTTCACCATTCCCGAGTTTCCTGTCATTTAGACTAATGAATTGACTGAATTTCATTCTAACAGAATGTCGAATGTTTGTCCATTAAGTTTAGGCCGAAATTCAGGCATAATTTTCGGCTCCGTGCAGCGGTTGCAAATTGCAGCCGATTAGTGGGTAGCCCCCTAATTCCCACAAGAGTTAGGGTGCTATCTACTAAAAAGCTGAAAGTCCAAAATTGGTCTATCAGCCTACTTTAAAGTGGCGAGTAGGGAGATTTTAATCTCCTTTATGCTAATATGGGATCATATTGACACCCATAGAGTGAGGAGTGGCATGGGAGTGGGGGAGTTAGGAAGTGGCGGGGAGCACAGCTTTTGTTTCTATTTTTACATATTACAAGGAGGGAGCCGCGAGCAGTATTAGGCGTACGAACAAAAACTGCATTTCTATTTGTTCATTCATCTTTCTGACGAATGAACAAATAGCCGAAATCCCCATACGAATTTCAGACATTAGCGAATACCCAAGTGTTAAACTGGGCATGCACGGGAATTTCACAGTGCTATCTAGTGTGGGTAGATGACATGTCCCGCAGGGCCTTTATCTGCCCACACAAAGATGGCGGCGCCAAGAATCAAGATTCGGGCAGAATATAAAAAGGGTGAAGTGGGGGATCTAGAGGCATATTGGGGTATCTAGGGGGTCAATAAAATGTAGTGGAGTTGGGAGAGGTTTAAAAAAAAACAGATGCCACCATGATAGTGCCGCTTTAATGTTTTTATATGTTAAGTTTGTGGTTCACATTCGCAGCATTTAAGCTTTATAGCAGGGGTGCCCAAAACCTCGAACACTGCGCCTACACACAGGTGTAATTTTTGTCGCTCTTGTGGCACTTCGCATAAGTGATAGCAGAAGGGAGGACTAAATTGGAAGTGCCCAGTGGACCAAGGTATAAAACTTGTGATGGCATCAGGTAACTCGTGCCACCCTAATCACTATAGCAGGCTGCAGCAGTGATGGTGCCTAGACTGCCCCTTTACGTTTCTGCCAAAGTAGCAATTTAATGCATTCCATTTTCAATCCACACAATTCTCCATGCAAACATTATATATATGTAGTAAAGCATATCCAATAAAAGTTCTGTTTAATTTTGTTATAAATAAATTTGTGTTTGCCATGTCAGGGAATATATAGATACGTAGGGTATAGATTTGAAATGCAAGAAAATAAATAAATTACAAGATGAGCAAGGGTAACTGACTTACCTTTTACACTAGTGGATCCAGTAGAACTGGAATTGTACCTTGCTTGGGAAGCCATTCTAGAGTTGTCATCATTAAAGGGACACTTTGTTCTGGAATTGCCCCATTGATTTATTGCACTGTAATGTAATAGATAGATCATGTATTGGAATTTCTCACAATTGAAGTTGCTGCATTTGCAAGAAATCCCCACACTTCAGATCATTATTCTTGACCTCTGCATTAACCAGGAAGTATCTCGGTCATTGATAAACCTTTTATTTAATTCCGAGGACTCTGAAGTGCTGGACACCTTTAAGATAAGCACTGCAAGGTTAAAGTGCAACTAACTCTCTTTGTAGAGTCATAATTAACCTACCCGGGGTAACTCATAAGTTAAAGGGATACTTATAGCAGCAAAACAACCTTAGCTTAAAGGACTGCTAAAGTCACCCAATGAAGTGGTCTGTGTGCAGTGGTCCTGTCATTTTAACCCTGCAATGCAGAAAATGCAGTGCATTCATTGCAGGGTTAACCCACGTCTAGTAGTTTTCTTCCACACAATCACTAGAGGAGCTTACACACTGAGAACCAAGTCTCTTCCACATGCACACTGTGGGGAGGCATTCGATTGGCTGAGGTTGTCAAGATTGATGACCTCAGCCAAGGAGGTGGGGTGGCCAAAGAGAGAGCTTCACAGCGAGGGAGAAAAGTTAAAAGGATCCTATAGTGCCAGGAAAACTATAGGGTTATTAGGTCCCCCCTCTCCCTCACAGGTCCCCCCCCTCACCGCCTGCAGGGCTGAAGGGGTTAAATCAGGTTCCGCCCACGCTCCTCCACCGCCGACGTCAGCTGGTGGGGGATACCTAATGCGCATGCACGGCAATGGCCGCTCGCGCATTAGACCTCCCCATTGGAAAGCATTATTCAATGCTTTCCTATTAGGAGAATCTGACGCTGGAGGTCCGTGAGGATGTCCAGCGTCAGATAACTGACCAAAAGTCCGTTTGGATTCTGAAAGCCTTCTAGTGGCTGTCTGTTTGACAGCCACAGAGGTCAGACTTAGAGCTGCAATGTAAACATTGCAGTTTCTCTGGAACTGCAATGTTTTACATTGCAGCACTAAGTGCAAACTGGACACAGCACCCAGACTACTTCAATGAGCTGAAGTGGTCTGGGTGCCTACAGTGTCCCTTTAAGTAAATATCACCTTTCTCAAGCATTCCAAGTGCTGGACACCTAAACGTCTACAGGACATAGAATTAGGAATACACGTTTGTACTCCTAACGTTATAGTGTTAATAATTTAGCTATGCAGTTTTGGTGTATAGATTATGACCCTGCAGTCTCACTGCTCAGTTCTGTGCTTTCTTCAGCAAGTAGAACTGTGTTATTGGGCAAACACTGATTAAAAAGGTGCAACAGAAATAGCTAGTTTACAAAGCTCCGACACCAAAGGTGCAGAGATACAACCGATTATATTGGCAGGCACTATCAAATACTTAATAGTGTTGGTGTCCAGAGTGTCCCTTTGTTCCAACAAGAAAGAACCAGGATTTTAATTTTTACATTGAGCTGTATTAACAGTATGTTTTAGGTTAGGTACTGTGCTGCAAGATGCCTTTGAGTGACATTCTTCCAAGACTATCCCCTCGCAACACCCAATCTCCCCCCCCCAGCATTCAGTATAATATAGGCATTTAGTTTTCCGTTATCCCTACATATCTGTCCAAATTCGGATGAGCGATTAATCGGAGTGCTGGGTGCGGTTTTGTCCTGTAATTGATGTCCAAATTCTGATAACTTTTTACAGATAATGTCAAAGAACATTTCATTTCAAAACTCTAAAAAAAAATAAACAATTAACAAAAAATAGGGGAAACACACCCCAAAACACCTCACATTATAACTTTGATAAATTAGAAAAAGAAATGAAAGAAAATGAAATTAGTCATTTTTTTAAAAATCTGAACCAAGATGAATATAGAAGCACATTTATGACAATATTGTTAAAGAATTAACAAATATAATAATAATAATGTTCTGTAGCTTTCTGACACCTGTACAGGAGTGGAGAAACATTCTGTTTATTTACCTCTCCCTGTGTGAAACAAAACACACCCCATATGAATATTTCAAACTGTACCTGGCTATCAAGGAACAAACTAGCTCATATACACCCTGGTCTGTGTTTTTTTTTTTAAATTGCATTATTAAAATTGTAGAGTTCAGTGTAAGGACACAGCTGTACTGAATGCAAGGTAAGTCTAAGCTCCTGCCTTTACAAATCCTGAAACACAGCAGGGAAAGGCTGGGGGACATCTGGGAGCCTCTCTGCAGTGTACCAGCACTCCAGAGGTTAATCCATGTGTGTTGCCTAAAATCATGTGTAGAATCAGCCTGCATCACATTGCTCAGCCATTCAGCTGGAGGAAGAGCTAAGAGAGAACTTGTATGCTGGTGCAGTGTATCTGGTCCCCTTAGTGCTCAGAAAGCATCTGTTACTGAACTGCTATTTCTCTTGCAACTGTATCTCTCTACCAGAAGCTGATACCTTCCAATCTCTGCATAGAGGAAGACTGCTCAGAATTACTTACCTGGGGATCACACTCTTTGGCCGTCTCTTAACAGAAGTACACCTGTATCTCCAATCATCCTCAGCATCTTCTAGTGGTAATGCCAAATAACCCTTTATATACAGAAAGAGATTTTTTTTTCTTTCTCATTTCATTTTCTAGTGCATATTTAGTAATGGCTTTCTGTGTGATTTGCTATTATTTGACTCTTGTTTTATGCATGTTTTAAAGAACAAGAAAACTTGTTTTTTTTTCCATTTAAAAGTGATGAGAGCTTGAATGCACAGAAAGTAACTGTATATACTTTAAAGGTTTTTGAAGAAGAATATTTTGCAAGTGTGAAACAAACTGGGAATAATACTATTGGAAAATGTGACTTGGTAGTTTGGGTAGAAGGTGTCCATTTATCCTGCATCCATTATTTATCTGTTGATCTCTCCATCTATCCATGTCCCCCTACATCTATCCCTTCATCTCTCTATCTCTCCATCCATCCATTCCTTCATCTCTCCATCCCTCTACCTCTCCATCCATCCCTCCATCTCACCATCCATCCCTTCATCTCTCCATCTCTCCATCCATCATCCATCTTTGGTCTTCGGTTATGCCGGCTGCCTCTGCATAACCTATCTTCAATACCTGTTGATCAACATTTCGGCTTGCTCCATCACTGGGTTTACTATAGAAAGATATATCGCCCTTTGCCACTCCATTTATACATCCATCCATCCCTTGATCTCTCCATCCATCTACCTCTCCATCCATCCCTACATCTCACCATCCGTCCATCGATCCATCCATCATCCATCCATCGATCTCTTCACCTCTCCATTCATCTACCTTTCTATCCATCCATCCCTCCATCTCACCATCCACCCATTCATCTCTCCATCCATCTATATCTCCATCCTTCCATCCATCATCCATCCATCTACCTTTCCATCCATCCATACCTTCATCTCTCCATCCCTTCATCTCTCCATCCATCCACATTTTGCTATTCTTAGATATCAGAGTAAGGAAATTAAATGTTTGGATTTTTGTCTATTTTAAGTAAAAACACAGCTCCATTTAAATATATATTGTATGGCATTATTAGCTGACAAAGATGCTGGACACAGGGTGTCTCTGTTACACTCAAACACATGTGGTACGTTTGTAGTGAATTTGTAAGGAATGGGGCACATCAGGCTTACCAAAAAAAAATAATAATAATAATTAATAATAATAATAATAATAATGTTTGTTATTTCTTGTGTGTTTTAGTTAAACTGTTTCTTATTCCAACAGGAAGCTTTGATGTAAGGAAAGTGTAATTTAGCTGCATATCCATCTGTTCTACCAGAGTTTCGTATTTACCCATAGGAGAAGAAAGTGGGAAAAAAGGGTTTTGAAGGGCAAACATGGCAAATCATACATTATCTTTGGAAATGCTTTTACTTAATGAAACAGGATTAAATCAAACACTGGACAAAATGCCTCAGAATGCATTGGAGGTCCAGGTGGTCACCATTCTCCTTGTACTTTTGATCTGCGGAGTAGGTATTGCTGGCAATATCATGGTCGTTTTAGTGGTATTAAGGACCAAACACATGATGACTCCTACTAACTGTTATTTAGTCAGTTTGGCCATTGCTGACTTGATTGTACTACTGGCTGCCGGTCTACCCAATATTTCTGATGTGGTTGCCTCTTGGGTCTTCGGTTATGCCGGCTGCCTCTGCATAACCTATCTTCAATACCTGGGGATCAACATTTCGGCTTGCTCCATCACTGCGTTTACTATAGAAAGATATATCGCCATTTGCCACTCCATTAAAGCTCAGTTTATCTGCACTGTCTCCAGAGCCAAAAAGATTATTGCCTTTGTGTGGATGTTCACCTCAATGTACTGTGTGATGTGGTTTTTCTTGGTGGACACCAAGGAAGTCAAGTTTGCCGATGGGGTTCAAGTCAACTGTGGTTATAAGGTCTCTCGAAACTTGTATATGCCCATCTATTTCCTGGACTTTACCATATTTTACGTGATCCCTCTGGTCCTGGCCACCGTTCTTTATGGATTGATAGCGAGAATATTATTCATGAATCCTCTGCCTTCGAACCCTCAGGATTTGAGCCGAATGAGCTCAAAGCATCATGGGAAACCGTATAATTCCATCAAACTTTCTTGCAAGGGAAATAAAAACACAGTGAGCTCCAGAAAACAAGTGAGTATGGAATCTGGCCAGTTGAAAATCCCACCAACATATACATATCTAACTTAATATTTACTTTTAAGCAAAATAGTTTATCATAGTTTGTTTTTAAGGACATGTAAAGGGAACATTGTCAAATTATATGAACATTTATAATTTTATTTCTAAATAAAAAATATTAGCTCTTGAGAACCAGGGTTTAAGAAAAATTCTTTATATCATAGCAGATATTTGGGGGAATTTACCAGATTCTGCATGAGGGTACTGTTGCTTAAAGATTGAGGTTTTAATAATTACCATATTATTATTTTGTCCAGAATGTACTTGTAACCATCATCAGGTAAGCTGGATAAGTCATTATAGGTGTGTGCTGCAAATTATATTGACATCTCCATATACCATGACCTAAAGTATCATAAGGAAAATTGTGAAATCTTACCCATTATTTATTACGTTTGAGAAAAAGAAATACATTTTAAATGTATCCTACTCTTAACGTGTTTTTCTATCTATTCTATACTGATATCAACCATGTTACAATTAATTCTATGTTGAGATATGTTTCTTTTCTGCAGATTAGCCCACTGCTCAGTATACACAAAAGTTTAGAGCAGGCATAGGCAACCTTCGGCACTCTAGATATTTTTGACTACACCTGCCATGATGCTTTGGCAGCATTATGGTGTAAGAGCATTATGGGGGATGTAGTCCACAACACCTAGAGTGCCCAAGGTTGCCTATCTCCGGTCTAGGGTTTAGGCAATCCCTGTTCTGTTCCGAAAGGGTTACTGACAGCCTGGACCACAGGTGTGCCTGAATACACAGCTGAGGAACACTGCATTTTATAAACCAATTGGCAGAGTTCTCGTCTCTGTAAGGTCAATGGCTGTGATATGCATAACAATGGGTTAAATCTCTTATTCTTTTATTGAGCCATTTTGAACATGGGGTCTATAGAAAAGCATCTAATTTTTGGTTTCCTTGCAGACTCAGACATCAGTTACAGACTGTGAGTGCTGGACTAGCCATAAACAGTGCTCAATGAATATCTCTGCCATTCAAATTTGGATAGATCTGTAGAGATATTATTAAAGTGATGTGAACATTATCTTGGCGTCAGCTCAGGGCTTTGGGTATTGGAGTAGAATCCCCTACCTCACCCATAGTTTATCTCCTTGAATGGAGAATATGGGATCATGAAAATTAGCTTCACAAGCCCCTCTGTAAGAAGCAAGGTCTAACCATCCTGCTGGCTGTTACAGACTATAACCTCTGGCTGAGCGAGATGAGAGTTGTGAAGGAAGAGAGGAAGGGAATTTTGCCATGCTTAAAAAATATCCTTCAATATATTTTATTTAACTAAAAAATTATGGCTATCACAACTGTGCAAAGGAGCATGTATTGATAAGTGTTATAGCACACCAAAGGTTATTTTTAATGGTAGATCCCCTTTAAACTTGGTTCTTGATAAAGCCGGTGCGATAGAGGAGGGGCAAAGAAGGAAGTAGGGGGCAGGAGGGAACATACTGAATGGATTCTGTTTGATGGAGCCCAGTGATAGACCCTACCTCTAGTGACATGTAATACTTCAGCCTAGACATGTGTAGGAAAAATATTTGGTTCTTCCGATTTGATATGGTTCTGATTTTCAAATTATATATTGTTTTGGTTTTGAAGAATTTTGATTTATAATTTTTCAGTTTAATCCAAAATTTCGTTTCAAAGCAAAATATTTAAGGTCAATACGAAAATTGCCAGGGATGTCTAAAAATGAGGGGTAAAAGCTGCCTACAGTGTCCCAAAAACAACTGTCAAACTGCAAATTAGTGAATGAAAATTGACTCGTGAAATTTGTTCAGTGTGAAGAATTTAATTTGAAGTTTGATTTGAAATTCTATGATTAAAATTGACAGTAAATCTGATGAATTAGGCTTCTCCCTGATCCGAAAGTGTTGGGGGAGATTTATCAGTTGACACCAACACTTTTATGTCTACGTTTTTGTGAGGTTTTGGTGCAATTTATTAAACCTACTTTTTTCATTTGTTTCATTTCTTGCCCTATAAGTATATATTTTTTAATATGTGTCATTTTGGGGTTTGTACATTTTTCTGTCCTTTCCTTCTCACTACACGAGCAGTTGGCATAAATAGCTAATCTTCATTGTCAGCTGAAAATGTCTTTCCATAAACCATTTAAAAATAATTGGTTGAATAAGATTAATTTAATCTTGTTAAAGGATCACTATAGGGTCAGGAACACAAACATGTATTCCTGGCTCTATAGTGTTAAAACCACCATCTAGCATCCCTGGGCCCCTCATGCCTCCATGGATATAGCAAAATCTTACTGTATTCAAGCCTGAAGCTGTAACTGTGTATGCTGTTTGTCTCAGAAAAACAAGCAGTCTGCTGACATCATCAGAAGTGGTAGCCTGATCCAATCTGAGAAGTGGCCAGTGAAGTTATCACTAGGCTGTAATGTAAACACTGCATTTTCTCTGAAAAGACAGTGCTTACAGCAAAAAGCCTGAAGGTAATGATTCTACTCACCAGAACAAATTCAATAAGCTGTAGTTGTTCTGGTGACTATAGTGTCCCTTTAAACTATAGGATGTGATTTTGAGTTTGAACACTTTAAGAACTGTCAGTGTTTCAGTGTGGAAGCGGCCATTTTTGAATTGCATCACAATAGTAAGCACTTACTGATGCTTATTGATAAAAAGGCTACAAAGACCGTGTGATTTCAGTAGCCAATCAAAATCTTGGATTTGCAGAGTAGCTCCCCAGTTTGCTGGTTCATATTGTTTTTAAAGAACATGGGTCTCTATTTAATAATTTTTAATATGCTTTTAAAATTATTTAATGTTTTTGAGTAAACTTTAAAAAAATATTTTTTTCTAAATATTAAAAGATAAAAAATATATATAATATATAAAAATATGTATCAATGTACAAAATGAAATCAATATATTGAAATAGTTTTCAATATATTAGACCACCCAGACCACTTCATCGCCTCATTGAAGTGGTCTTGGGGCAGTGTCCCGGTCCTTCTAAGTCTTGTAATGTGAAACATAGCAATTTTAAAGAAACTGAAATATTTACATTGCAGTACTAAGACTGCCTCTAGTGGCTGTCTCCCAGACAGCCACTAGCGGCGCTTCCTGGAGTTTCACGAAGTTTGACTCTGTGAAACAATGCTGGACGTCCTCATGCTCTGCATAAGGACATCCAGTTCCAGAGAAGACCCCTAGGAATGCATTGAGGCAATGCTTTCCTATGGGGAAGGCCAAATACACACGACATATACCATTGACTGACATCAGAGGAGGCAGAGCGTGACCCAGCGCCAAGGGACCTTGGTGCTAGTTTCGGATAAGTGAATAAAGGATTATTAAACCCTTTACAACACTGGGTGGGTGCAGGGGCTGAGGAACACGTTACTGTTAGGCATACATTTTTGTATTTATTACACTAAGGTGTTCCTTTAAAGGCTTGTATGACAATGTTTGAAACAAGCCCAGTGTAAGTTGGAAATATATATTTTTTTTTTTTTAAATATAAAATAAACAACTCTAAACAGATTGAAAAATGACCAACACGAGGTATATTTGTGTTTAAAAGGCTATCTGATAATACATAGAAATTTGATTCGATTTTTTGGCACTTCAGGGTCATTGCACGAAGGTTAGACATGGTGTGGTTAAATGCTAGCATTCTTTACGTATAAATATGCCAGCAAATGTTTCAGAGCCTTGTAGAAAAAACAGAATAAAGTTTCCTTATATTCAGTCAATATTTCATTGTCTGAAAGGCACATAATAATGGAAAGCTCATAGAACGGAATAGAATGACCTGGCGGACATTAAAGGACAATGCTGTATCAAAATGTGTCCACATGTTTAAGTCAATACTACCTATACACAGTCTATTTGCATTAGTGTCTCACACTTTGTGAAGAATGGAAAGGCCACTCAGAATTCCCTAAAGGTTCAAACTTAGAATGTTAAATTGGTTCCATAATTCTTTCTTTAGAATTCCACCTGGATACTAGAGATTATTATGTGAGTCATGAGGAAGTCTCAGAGAGGATTTATTGATTGTCTACATTGCTAAATGTTGCCAGCCTTGAGTTATGGTAATGATAACGTATATATACGATCCACTAGCGAGCAGTAAATATTCCTGTGTGTGTTTTGTCTCTGGTGCGGTGATGGGTAACCTTAGCCTGTCACAGGTTTATAAAGTACATTTCCCATGATACCCTGATAGCCTCAATCTATCTCTTCACTGGTTTTGGACTTGGGTGTTCTGCCATGGATGATGTCAGAAACACTGATGGGTGTATTTACTGAAGTGAGAATTTTAAAGGACCACTATAGGCAGCCAGACCACTTCAGCTCAAGGAAGTGGTGTGGGTGCTAGGTCCCTCTAGGGTTAACCCTGCAACTGCTATGTTTCACTGAGGGTTAACCCTGCCTGCTGTAAACATAGCAGTTTCAGACTGACAGCCGCTAGAGGCGCTTCTGCGCTGCTCATTGTGATTTTCACAGTGAGAAGACGCCAGTGTCCATAGGAAAGCATTGAGAAATACTTTCCTATGGACTGACAGAATGCGCGCGCAGCTCTTGCCGCGCATGCGCATTCAGCCGGTGACGTCAGAAGGAGGAGGAGAGTCCCCAGCGCCGAGGAAGCCCGGCGCTGGAAAAAGTTAAGTATTTAACCTCTTCCTCCCCCTTGAGCCCGGCGGGAGTGGGACCCTGAGGGTGGGGGGACCTATTAACACTATAGTGCCAGGAAAACGAGTTTGTTTTCCTGGCACTATAGTGGTCCTTTAAGGAATTTAATTAAATTAGAAAAGTTAGGCCAAAGTTTCTGGGTTTTTCTAATTTATCTATTTTGACCTAAATGGGGGTCACTCCACTGCAAAAGAAAATGAGGGGGAGGATATATCTAAAAACCGCTTTTAAAAGCTACAGATATCTTGTTTTTAGCCTTTGCAAGCCACCCCCCGTCCCCCTCCTTCTAGCCCAGCCCAGACCAGACTTTCTATGGTTTTCCAATCACAGACTTCCCAATACAGCTCAATGAAAAGTCTTTGCAAGGCAGGTGTTAAGAGCAATTGCTGCCTCTTGAGTTTAGCTCCACTGGGGGGGTCGGAGGGGGTTAGTTACATTTTAAGGAACAATTTAAAAGGGCATTCTAGGCACCATAATCACTACAGCGCACTATAGTGGTCATAGTGCCAGGCGTGCTTGCTTTTTCAGATTAACTGAGACTGGAAGACTGCAGGCACACATCATTTCAGGGTAAATGTAAAATCATTAATAATTGGTTTGACAATGTATGGTGCACTGCGATTTCTGGCATCATACTGCAGTGTGCTGAAGTGGTGTTGGTGTGTGGCGTACATTTGTTGTTGTTTTTGTTTTCAAAGGTTTCAATGTGCTCTGGCTGTTAATTAAGGTCTCACCCATGCCTCTTGATAAGTAACTGCATCATAATTACTCCTTAAAAAAATTAAAAGGAAATTGCTAGGATAATACCTTAATTCTAATTTTTTGTTTTCCAGCTTTAAAAACTGTTTTCTCACTAAAAAGTATATGAACTATTAACCTACAGAGGTCAGACTGGTGTACCTGTGGACGTTGGGGATTGTTCTATTCTTTAATAAACTGACTCCATTCCATCATCAACATCATTCATTTAATTTCCTCTGGAGGTTATTCTGGAAACGGGGCCAACATCTGGATATGATCAAATAATGCATAATTTACTTGTCAATTCTCCACAGTTTCTCAGTTAATGAATGGACCCACCTGTGCAAGATATTCTCAGGATAGATAATGATGACATTGGTGTAGACTGATTTGGTTCACAGCTAAGGAGTGTGTGGTTGATTTAGTCAATCCCAATAATAGCTAAAGAAGATATTAAAGGATCACTATAGTGTCAGTAGTGTTTTCCTGACACTACAGTGCCCCCACCCTCAGAGTCCCCCTCCCGTGGCGCTGGAGGGGTTAAAACCCTTTCAGCCATTTACCTTAATCCAGCGCCGGACTCCCTCGGCTCTGGTGACCTCTCCTCCCCATCCGACATCAGCTCCCCCGTCCGACGTCACTGGAGCCTCAATGCTTTCTCAATGCTTTCCTATGGATGCTCTGCGCAATGGAGGTGAAATTCGCCTCCAGCGTCGCAGATGCGCCTCTAGTGGCTGTCTGCAAGACAGCCACTAGAGGCTGGCCTAACCCCAAATGTAAACATAGCAGTTTCTCTGAAACTGTTATGTTTACATGTGAAGGGTTAAAACCTGAGGGACCTGGAACCCAGACCACTTCATTGAGCTGAAGTGGTCTGGGTGACTATAGTGTCCCTTTAACCCCTTCACTACCACGTAGTTAGCATATTACATAGTTACATAGGCTGAAAAGATATGTGTCCATCATCTTCAGCCTTCCTTACATTTGTTTTTGCAGTTGTTCCCAAAGAAGGCAAAAGAAAAAAAACTGTTTGAAGCACTTTCCTATTTTACAATAAATTAGGAAGAAAAATCCTTCTTGACCCCAGAATGGCAGTCAGATCTCTCCTCTGATCAAGGAGCTATTGCCCCTCAAATTAAAAGTTATATCGCTGAGTATTGTGTTTGTGCAAGTATTTATTCATTGCAGTTTAAACATCTGTACAGACTCTGATAAAATCACCTCTTCAGGCAGAGAATTCCACATCCTTATTGTTCTTACCATAAAAAAAAAAACATTTCCTTTGCCTTAGACGAAATCTCTTTTCCATTCTGGTCTTACCATTGATTTATAAAGAGGCAAAATTGTATTTTCATCCAGAGAATTAATGCCCCATTTTATACATGACAAAACCTTACTGACCTTAGCAACTGGTGATTGATATTGCACATCGTTGCTTAGTTTGTTGTCTATAAAAATTCCCAAATCCATCTTTTGTGTTGTTATCCCTATTTCACTACCATTTACATTCTTTACCCTGAAGTGGGTAACTTTGCATTTCTCTACATTATATTTCATCTGCCATTTAAGTGCCCAGTTTACCAATCTATATAAATCTCTTTACAGCAAAACTATATCCTGCTCAGATTTTATTACTCTACAGTTTTTTGTCATCTGCAAACATTGAAACATGGCTTTCAATGCCTATTTCAAGATAATTTATCAATATGTTAAATAGAAGCAGTCACAAAACAGAACCCCGAGGGACACCACTTACCACCTCTGTCCAGCTTGGAAATTTATCATTAATGACAACTCTCTGTGCTCTACCCTTAAGCCAGTGTTCTACCCAAGAACAAGAATTTGCATCTTAACAAATTTCTTGTAGTTTGAAGACTAACATATCGTGTGGAACCGTACTGAATACATTGGCAAAATCCAAATAGATCACATCCACTGCAACTCCCTGATCTATACTTTAGATGCAATTTAGTTAGTTTGACATGACCTATGTTTCATAAAACCATGCAGATTTTTGCTCATGACAATGTTCTTCCCAATGAATTCCTAAATATTATCCCTTAATAACCATTCAAATACTTTCCCAGCCACAAAAACCACCTGGTTCGCTTTTTCTCACTGACATGGGCAGGAGTAAGTTGTGTCCCCTAAATTAGTGCAAGCTTTTGGACTCCATGAGATGATGAACCAGAGGGCATGGATGATTTCACAGGTGCAGGAAAACATGTTAGCTTGCCATCTAGCTGTCCAGTTTACAACACCCAAAATGCATTGTCATCAACAAACCAACTTTCTGTGCTGGAATGTTTCGCACCAGGGAACTGCAAGAAACCTAGCTTTGGAAGAAAGGCATAAATTAAATAATTGAAAATACACCCAAAATACCAGGGTTCACTCGCTACGGAGATACGTTTTATAGTAGAGGATGTCTTCTTCATCTCTGGGCTTCGAGATAGTCATGGTAATCATTAAATGAATTGTTACAAGTCTGTATTGGTTTAAAATTGGGTGGGTGACAAATCTAACTTCCCACTCAATCTTCACCTGGTTGTTAGTTGTTAGACTTGCAGTAAGATAAACAAGGGACTTGTAATAATAAAAGCTCATTGTGGAATCTTCAACTCAGCTGAGATATCACCAGGTCGGCCCACTTTGTGGAGGTCTTTCAAGAGATAATCTAGAATTTAATATCCAGTCTTTTATCTGTACATTTTTCCTTTGTAAGCTAGTTATTTCAGAATGGTTTGTAGATAGGTGGAATGCAGCAGATGTAGCCCAAATGATTATTGCTAAGTAAATAAAATGTGACTGTTGTACGGTACTTGATATATTCGGAAAGTGCACTTTTTATACGTTCATCATCAAACTATTTCAAGTGACCATCTTCATTAACATATTGTATTTAAATATCTCAACTATATATTATAAATGACAGCAAGTAGTTTTTTTCTCTATAAAATCTAACATGTAACATCCATACAGAAACATAATAACCTCCCTGTATATCAGCACCAGGTAGATAAAGATACTTAATAAGATCAGAACTGTCACTCAAGATGGAAAAATATGAAAATTAATCCATTCTGTATTTGTCCTGCCACATACCATCTCTCTAATGCATCCAACCTTATTATCTCTCACTCCTATCAATTTACTGTGATCTAGGGAAAGAGTTACAGTAAATTAAAAGTAAACATTACATTTATAGAATGTAAAGACTCAATTTATTGTTACTATTTGAAGAATTTGCCTACCTGGTTCAGGGTTTTGTGAGCTATAGAGATTTGTATAGCTCTTAGCATTTTATGAGGTAGTTTAAGATTTGCTTAGTTTTTTTTAATCTTCTTGCAATGATTTTATCATACTCCCTCCCATTCCTCAGTCTTCTCAGCAAATGCTACATAATGTAAAATGCATAGGGCAGAGGGTGCAATGCATGGGTCAGAATGTGAAATGCATGGGACAGTGGGAAATGCATGCAGCAGGGTGTGACTGCATGCTTTAGGTGCTATACAAGCACCAGCTCTGCTGTTTGCCATCAAGGACCGGAGGGGAGATCAGTGATCTCCCTCCCTGGCCCACACAGGCTGATTGCTGGGCGGCCAGCAGGGAGAGAGAACCCGAGGGAGAGAGAACCTGCAGCTCCGCCGGGTTCTCTGCTCGTGATCACGGAGCGTTGCCGCGGTTACCATGGCAAAGCTCCGTTCTCGCAAGAGTGAACTCTACTCTGAGCTGCAGGTTAGAGTTCACTCCCCCACTAGAATCACCAGGGAATGGAAGAAAGCAATGTCTCCCCCTCCCTCAGCAAAGGTAAGAAGGGAGGGGGGACATTAGCTATATTTATTTAATTATTAAAAAACAAATATCTTTCACCTGCCCCCCTACCCCCTCACACACTGCACCACACACAGCCCCCCTTACACACACAGCCCCCCTATCCCCTCACACAAACTATAACCCCCTACACATTATACACACAACCTTTACACACACAGCCCCCATACACACCAGCCCTCCTTACACACACAACCCCCCTTACACACACAGCCCCCCTACACCCTCACACACTACAAGCCCCTACACACAGCACCACACACACACACACAGCCCCCTTACACACACAACCCCCCTTCACACACACAGCTTCCCCTTACACACACAGCCCCCCCTTACACACAGCCACACACACAGCCCTCCTTACACACACACACACATGCCACACATTCCACACACACACAGCCCCTTACACACACACAGAGCCCCCTTACACACACAGGCCCCCCCTTACACACACACATACCCACAACACACACAGCTCCCCCTTACGCACACACAGCAATCCCTTACGCACAGTCCCCCCATACACACACACAGTCCCCCCATACACACACAGTCCACCATACACACGCAACCCCTCCTTACACACACAGCCCCCCTATCCCCTCACATACTATAACCCCCTACACACTGCACCACACACAAATATACAGTCCCCCTTACACACACACAGCTTCCCCTTACACACACTTCCTCCCCTTACACACACAGCCCCCCCTAAACACACATAGCCCCCAATACACACTGCCCCCCATACACACACAAACACACTGCTCCCAATATACAAATTGCTACCCCATACATACACTGCACCCCTCTCAAACATGCACTACCCCTGCATACACATACTGCGACCCTCACATACACTGCACCACACACACACTACAGCCCCTATCCTAGCAGACACTGGGTAAGTTATCAAACGTTTTTTTAAATGGTTTGATTACTTACTCTGGGAGGGCACCACAGCAAATCCTGGCACCAAAACCACTACAGAGAGCTTTAGTAGTTATTGTGCCTGGATTGTTTCTTAAAATGATCTGCCAGTGCCCCTCCCGATATTAGCATCTGGATCTGCCACTGTGACAGACTCACACACGCACACTGACACCACTGGATCCAATATTCCAAACAGTAAGTACTCACCCACATCCGACGGCTAATAGAGGTACATCCAAATCTTCTTTCTGCCTCCGATAGTCCTCTTGGGGAAATCACTTTCGATGCAACGAGCTTCCATTTCCGGCAATTGTGACACTCGCCGTCATGACTTAATTACGTAATGACATTCAGAGTGATGATGCAATCCTTCGCCCCGTCTCTCGGGGCTTTCTCAAGCATGGATGAAGTCCTGTACCCTTTATATTGCAGCAGCGTATGGCAATCCACCACAATAAAAGTTCATAGTCCTGTATAAGTCAATCTGATAATGTCCAAAAAGTATAGGGATTAAAAAGGGTGTGTAGTAACGTTTTGCAATAATACTCATTATTACATCCCCTTTTTAAATCCCTATACCTTTTGGACATTATCAGATTCCACAAGAGGACAATGAAAGGGAAATCGGAAGTGGGAAGTCCTAGAGATTTTGGATGCATGTCTACGAGCAAATTTTAACGTTTTGTTATTGCTTCAATAAAAGTTTAAAGTGAAGACTTTGCCAGTGTGTGAGTCCTTACTTTTTGGAATCTTGGAGGACACAAGGGGCTGATCCTCCCCATGCCGTATTGAGTGACATTCTACCCAGTCTCAATTTGCGAGTTCTGGTCCTATAGATAGCTTATTTATTTTATATTGGTTAAACAACTTTGCACTAGGCTCGTTCCTTGCTTTTTGTTTCTTTTATAGATCTGCTGGGCTTGAATTAGGTAAATTGTGAAAGTATATTAAGTTACTGGCTGTTTATTGAATACCTTTAGTGAATACCTAATCACATGTAGGTTGTTGTACAAATTATAATTTTTTTGGCACTTTGCACATATTGCATAAAAGGATTGTCACTTTTGTACGCATATGAAGTAGTGGGAATTTGCATTTTTGCCACGTGACATGTATACGATATAGCACTTTATGGCAGTCATTGAGAGGGTGGTGATTATTATTTTTATAACGTACTTTTTTTTAACCATTTAAAAAAAATTATGATCAATTGGGAATTTTTACAGCAGGGTTATGTTATGGTCGCTGCAGATTTATGATTTCTATTTGTGATACATTTAATTACATTATTCGGATATAAGAAGGATTGTGAACTTTAGCACTGAGTAACTTTTTGATATATTTTTTTAAATGTATCTATCACTGAAACAACTGCACTGCTCCTTATTACTTTTTATTCACATTTCTAATATTTGTGAACCTATAGATCTTTATTCACTAAACCAAGAATTATAAAGAACGGACAAGGAAAATAAACGGTTTAAGAGAAAATAGCTCAAATGAGTTGGGCAGTTATTCCATTTCAAATGCGTTGGCCTAAAAATTGCATTTCAGTTGTTAAATTTTCAAAGGAATAAACGCCTGTGATTCAATTTTAAGACTCCCATTTCTATCTCTTCTTTGGATTCCTACGCAATCATTAGAAAATAGATTACTGAGCGAAGGCCATTCTAGTAATGGGATTTGTAGATTCCTCTGCTATACTCAGATATTCTGCACTCGCTAAATTACTATTAAATTTCCTGTTCAATCTCAACAGCTTGATAAACCACACACATCATTTAGCTACGGAGCATTAAATTGACGTACGTTAAGAATGTTCCATTGCAAATTTTTGATCTGTAGAATGCCAAATTCTAAAGCCATGGAAGCCGCATTGTTAATAAGATCGGAAGGCCATTAGGTCTGAGTAGTTAATAAGATTTGAAGGCTTATCATAATGTTAAGTAACCCTTATCTGACCTGAGTTATATGGAATACACTCTTAGAGGATGGATCGATGCTTGCTTATCACATCACAGCCTTGAAGGATTAGGGTACTCAACACGGCTTGGAGATTGTTTAAATATATTTACTATAAACATAATAGTGACTGCATCTAAGTATGCATTATCTGGCAATCGACCAAATGTTTTTGCCGACAGAGAGCCTCATGCAATTTTAAAAAGAAATCCCCCAATTTAGGCGTAAAATGTCTATTGAAAAATGGGGATTAATTAATCACTAAATATTAAATGGTGGTTTTTTGAAAATCAAATCAAATGAAGGTCAATATAACACATTTACTTTCTTATTTGGTTGGAGGGGAATTCTCTATTTTAAAAATCTGCTGACCCTTATTCTCTTTTGCCAAGGTTAAAAAGGATGTTCATTCAGACTTGCAGAGAGTTGTGGGTATTGTAGTTGTGACGATAGCTGAATTGTAGAATTTTATTTCCAAATCTGCTATTTTTGTAGTAAATCAGGGGTTTCATACTTTTCTTCACCTAATATTCTTTGACCACAATTCTCTGCATTTGAATTATGCAATTCTATATTCAATTCACTCGATAATGTAGAAGTGTGATTTTGTAAAACTGCGTCAGAACTGTTTTTAATGGGCAGGTCTATACATTTGTAGCACTATAGCTACTACAATGAGCTGCTGAGGTTATGGTGCTTTGAATGCTCCTTTAAATGCTAGCGGAAACTGCAGAATAAAAAAATTGCTTTCTTTCATTACTTTCCCGTAATGTGTGGTTCAATTTTTTGAAAATGTATTGAAATATTTGTGCCAAACAGGTGTTTGGAAATAAATCTATCAATGGGTGTGAGTAGATCACAAAGGGTTAAAAATACTGCACGCCTACTCGTATACGAGAAGGTAAATGAAAAGATTTGCGCTATTTTCAATCCATCTTAGCTCTATCGAAGGGTCTGCACCACTGACCTGAGCTAAAATATTCTCTGCCTTAAGTAATTGGAACTCATCAAAATAACACAGTACTAAATTTGAAAGGGGAGCGTTTAATAATTTAATGTATGGCTTGCGCATCGAAAATTCAATTACATCATTTTTCGCTGGCAAGATATCTGCGTTAATTACAGTGCTTTCTAAAATAGCTCAACGTACGTCAGTCTGTTGGAAATAAGCGTGTGTAAATAAGCCATTGGAATGTTTAGGTTAATATCTTAATTACTTCTCACAACCAGACGTAAGGAAATGAAAAGTACTTTCGAAAAAAGCTTGGCAGAAACAGAATTGCAGACTCATCACCCTGCTTACGTGAGCCATATTGAGATCTGTTCATTTAGAATTCTGAAGTATTTATGTATTTATCTACAAAGCTGTTTTATATAAAACTTTGCTTTAATGCCTGTGCAATTTTATGTACTCTACGCCTTCTTTTGTATTCTGCGTCTTGTACATCTGGAAAGATTTGCTGCATATGAATTTTAAAATGAGGTTTTTTTACTGCACTCCAGTTCGGTGACATTTTCATGACGGCTCTTCTCCGTTTTTCACCCAGCCTAATGCACCTCATAAAGGGGACAAAAGACTCATGTCCGTCCATCGCTGCACTTATCAAATGAAATGCCTCTGTTCTCGCAGCGGAGGCGCCTCGAGTGGCTGTCAGGAAGACAACAGGTGTGTTTAACCCTGCAATGTAAGAGAGGTGGTATCTAAAATATCTGCAGTGTTTACATTGCAGGGTTAAATCCAAAAGGGCCACAGGGAGGAGGGAGGACCAGTCACCTTGGAGAGTAACTCCTAAGCTTTTTGATATGTTAGCTAAAATTACAGCAAAAATACTCACCTTGTATCAGTGGGCTAGGCTCCTTAGCATATTGGTGTGTTGATACCTCCTTTGATCCTGATCCCTGGGAGTTTGGACACCATATACTACTAACAGACTGCAGCTCACCAGTTATCCAATGAGAAATATCACTGCCCTTCATTCTTCCCTCTTTGGACCGCTGGAGATTTTCCCGGTCTACCCTAGAACCTTTCCATCGACTGACATCTCCATCATTACCACAAACATGAATATGGCCGCCAAACCCTTGTGTGTTCCACACGGACAGGCAAGTATAGCAGCATCTCTTAGCGCCTTTGATGCCCTATGCAACATATTTTGACCTAAATTAAGCCAACGAACTAGGACAGCGACCCACCACAGCCTCTAACAAAGTATAATGAGTATGGCAGGAGCGCTTTAAATGCACTAACTGGAAATGTTGCATGTCACAGTTCAAATTAAGCTGGTGTTAGAATTACAAATGAGTTAGTAGCCACTCTGTCTGCAACAGGGGGTCACCTCTCTGCAACAGAATTATGGGAAATAGAGTGCACCGTCATCTGGATAGGTACCTGCCAATTAGGCTGCCTTCTAGCTAATTCGGTTCTGACAGATAATATAATAAAGCAAATTCAAGATGCATCATCTCTTCCCTTTCTAATGGCAATTCACATATAAAAAAAAAAACAAACAAAAAAAAACTAATAATGAGCTTTTTACATTTTCTCTAAAGTTTTACTGTTAATGGATTTGCATTATATTTAGCCTAATGCGAGGTCACTGACCAGATCTTGTTAGCAGCGACTGTCATTGTGCCTTTGTGTGATTACATACAGACGTACGCTAGCCGTTTTGTTTGCCCAGTTACCCAGGCCGAAACCGAATAATGCAAGTTGGAGTTGTTTAATGAGTCCTTTATTTAAGTTAATAATAGTCATGTCTTAGACGAGGCATTGGAGGAAATAGCTCTCTCTGCACTCAGGAAAAACACATCCAAACACATCTTTTTTCTGGATTGTATATAACTATCCATTAATGGCAAGATAATTACAAACGGTATGTGAAACCTACACGTTGAACATATAAAAGGAACAGCTAGGTTTAACCCTTTGTGTGTCAGAGGGGCAGTCAACATATTTCAGAGCTGAACAAGGAATAGAACAGAGCTAAACAAACTAAGCACAATAGAACAATAGAGTCCACAATAAAACTTGAGAGAATAAAAAAATACCAAATGGTACGGCACAGTCTCGAAGGTGGCAATAGATCTTTTAGTCCTGGTATGGGACCTTCTTGGTAGCTTCCGTTAATAGCAGAATATGAAAAGGAAGCAAAACCAGAGGGAATCCAAACGTGCAATATGGTAGTATGTGGCAGGACAAACGACATTTAGATAAGATGTCACTCACATATGGTAGAGCTATAACCAGCTCTAGGTAAAACAGTATGCAGTGGTATATAATCCCCACTTGCATGGTATCCATCTGGTTTTGGTACTGTAGAATGATGGTAAATCACAACTGGATAACGATGAGGTAGATCATACCGAATGGCAAAAAAAGTAGCCAATAGTGCTCTCTATATAGATAGGTAAGTAACAATAAGATAAATAAAAATATACTTACAATAGAGTGAGCAGATTAACTGCTCTATGTATCAAGCCTGGGTGGTATAATCCCCACCAAGGATTTCTTTGGTTGGTTGTCCACAGTAGGTAATGGGTCCAGATGTCAGGTAAAACTATATATAAAAAAAAAATATCAAAAAATAAGATCTAAAAATATATGGCTAAAAGGCAGGTAGTGAGGTAGCCAAAATACTTTATTTAACAACAGCATAAAAACCACAACGCGTTTCTCCCCTTAGGGCTTTCTCTAGTGGTAAAAACAGATACCTGACATAAGTGGGTTTATATAGGCTTTACCAAACCAAAATCTAAAGTGCGCTTGTGCCTTTAAAAACGTGTTATTGACTATACATGCTAAAATAACACAGTGTTAAGCATCAGTACACAGTGCTTATTAATTTGTGCTACTAGCAACTCAGTTCAATTAAAGTGCCATATCAAAAGTGAAATATAGGTTTTAAAACACTGAATTTTGGCGCCAAAATGACATAATTAATCACATGACCACAAATGCATGGCTATTAAGTGAAGCTACCAAGAAAGTCCCATACCAGGATTAGAAGATGTATTGCCACCTTTGAGACTGTGCCGTACCATTTGGTATTTTTTATTCCATTAAGCTTTATTGTGGTCTCTTTTTATATCCTGTGGGTTTTTATTGCTCTTTTTGATTTTATTGTTATTATTATTATTATTATATACTAATGTGTTTGGAGTATTTTTCTTGGCGCTACCTGTATATTGTTTGACTTGTTTAAGATATTGCAGAGGGTTAATGATTGTATATCATATATGATTTTATATCATTTTTGGCTACCAAGCACTTCCCATCCTCTCCCAAACACAGAGTTATGACTGACTATATACAGGACCACGCTTGAATCCAAAATTACTATTATAATAATTTGCTGTCATTTGTGTATCTACCTCCATTAAATCCCACAGTGGAGATAAAAAAAATGAATTTGACAAATAGAGAGATTGATATGGCAGGATTTGAATGAACCCTACGGTCAGGTTGAGAACGTAAAGGGAAATGTGATACACAAACCAAACTTAAAATACACTTGATGGCTAGATTGTAGGTATTTTGTGAATAGTACTGTTCAAACATAGTTAATTAAATAGCCATACCAGTGCTCTGCATTGATGGAACTAATGTAGAGAGGGGCTGTGATTCAGGAAATATTTTTGGGCTCCCTTCAGCGAAAGGATGGCCAAAAGGTAGAGCCCTATCTGTCTACAACACCCACAATTTCTTGCTAATTGGGGATCTACCATTTGCCCATTACTGCAGGGTTGTATTTGTATATTTCGGTGGCCCCACAGCAATGATACTCCCAGTAATGTGTCTTTAAACTGCAATAAATGTGTTTAGAAATCAGTCTGTGTCAATAAGATACATTGTGCCTCTTCTATATTACATTTTAGTTAGAGACCTTGTGATTAGTAAGTCACCTAAAGTTTCACAGAAGAGCCTCACCCTTGACCAGATACCCCACATCAGACTCCTAAAATTAATGTGTCCCTCTCTGTCCATTGCAGAAGTTAAGAGGATGCTCAAAATATATCAGAGACACATGTTGCCAAGGTATGACTGCCCAAAGGGCTGATCCTTATGTAAATAGGCATAAATAGTTTATTTTTATTTTTTTTATTTCACATTTCATTTAGTCACCTTAGTCACTTATGAATAAAGGATTTCATTGTAGAAAAATCATTGTACAAAATTGGAAGTGCTTCAGACTGGGTTTTTTGCCTTCTTTTGGATTAACAGCAAAAACATATGTGAGGAAGGCTGAACTTGATGGACGCAAGTCTCTCTTCAGCTATGTAACTATGCAAAATATATATTTATAGATACCATATTTTTATGTGTATAAGACTATGTTTTTTTTTTTTTAATTTTGTCTACAATTGGGGGCAGTCTTATACGTGCAATGTCACTGCAGGGTTTAAAAAAAAGCAAAAAAAAAAAACAAACAAAAAAAACACTTGTGCGTGAGACATAAGTTAAGATGGTGCCTGACGCATTTCAGTGTGCCACAGCCCACACACATACCTGGCCTCCCTCCCATGGATCCACTTCTGAATGCTGTGGCAAGGAGGAAGAGGTCCCTATATGTGTGGGAGCTGCAGCAGACATCATCATTTACCACCAATGGAGCTCCAGAGACATGCCACATCATAAAAGGAGCAGCCATATTAGAAGGACCACTATAGGCACCCAGACCACTTCAGCTTAATGAAGTGGTCTGGGTGCCAGGTCCAGATAGGATTAACCCTTTTTTTTTTATAAACATAGCAGTTTCAGAGTAACTGCTATGTTTACACTGAGGGTTAATCCAGCCTCTAAAGCATGCCGTGTATGAGCATTCAGCCGATGATGTCGCTAGGAAGAAGAAGAGGAGGAGGAGAGCTCCCCGCCCGGCGCAGGAGAAAGGTAAGCATTTAACCCCTTCCTCTCCCCAGAGCCCGGCGAGAGGGGGACTCTGAGGGTGGGGGCACCCTCAGGGCACTATAGGTTTGCTCCACCTCAGGTAGGTTTTGCTGTCTGATTTATATTTATGAGGGAGGAAATGAGGACCAGAATGCATAGAGAATACTACTGTGATGTCCCAGCATGCCCTCACACCACCTGTTGTATTGTGGGAGCTGTAGTCTCCCAGCATGCACTATGGAGCCATTAACTTCACAGAGTGCCGTAGCACCGGGGAGGCGTGAGAATCAGAAGTGTGTTGTTCTTCTCAGAAGTCACCTCTAAAATATCAAAGTTGTTCTATTTGATGTTTAAAATATCAATTTCTTAATTTTGGGCTCAAAAAATAGGGATCGTCTTATACCTGGAAAAATACGGTATATAAACGTTTGTATTGCACGATCAAACGGAGCATCATTTCAATAAAATAACTGGTTCTAGTTTTATTTTTTTTTAAATGATCGTTTTAACCATCGTTACAAAAAAAATTGTATAATCTCCATTTTCTTTGTCTTTGTAAGCTAAATATTTGTTGGTCTCTTGCGTTCATATTTAACATTGAGGTTTTCCCCACCCTGGGGGCAAACGCTGGTGGGCATATCAATCCAAATAAACATAGTCTGTCTGATCATGAATATAGGTTATAAAATATGTAATAAGATACTCTGTGATGGATATTGAATGTGAACTCAAAAACATAATCTTTGGGACTGTATGTCTGTGTTTGCTTCATAAAATGAATACTCCATTGGTTTTAATCTTTAAAGTTTTATGTGTAACATAAGTGAAAAAATAAGCAAATCTAATTACAATCTCGTGATTTTCAGTTCTGCTGGTGAATCATCTGGGGCACTTAACTTCAGAGTGTTTTTTATTTGTGAATCTAACTAATACTCGTTGAAAACCAGTGTTTGCCTCCCTTGTCTTATACATATTGATGGGGGAGCACAATAAATGTTGTCCTTGGCACTCAAGATATTGTGGACTACATCCCCCCTAATACTCTTACAGCCATAATGCTGGCAAAGCGTCAGGGGAAATGTAGTCCATCTGGAGTGCTGAAGGTTGACCACCCCTGCTCTAGATATTTGCGTGCAGGTAAATACAAACTTTGCCTGAATCTTATCTTCCGCCAACAGTTTATAAATTATATATGTGATAATTTGATTAATATTTAACAGCCCTTTTCTATATGGATTTAGCTTCAGGCTATATGGTATGTACTTTTCAGTCAACAGCTTCCAATTAAAATCTCATATCTAACTTGTGAATCTAAATCAACTAATTAAGTTTGTCACCTATCATTCCACCAGGACGCGCACGTGTTATTTTAGCTAGGTGAGGAGTTACCCTGGTAGGAGAGGGGTTACTGCCGTATAGGACGTTCCCTTACCGAATGCAGAGGTAGCTACTGAGCGCTCCAAACTGCCGAACAGCAATCACACAAACCCGTTGGTCTCCAAAAACAGCCAAATAACAATCACACGAATCAGTCAGTCTCCCAAATAGTCGAACAAGCATAATCCATACGAATAATCCCCCCAATGATGAGACAAAGCTCCGTATTGAGGGTCAGCAGGAATCTGTTTTACTGAGGGCTACCTGCCCGGTATTTATGCAGGTCTCCCACCTGGTGGACACTCCCCTAGGGGACCAGATGGGAGACTGTGACAAGGACATTACAACAACCAATCACAGTGTTACACATGTAACCATGCCCCTTTAATTACCCAATACCCTCTGCTCTGCCCGGGAGATAATTGTGAAGTAATTAAATTATCTCCCCGGACAGAGACCAAACGCCATTTTAAATTACTATAACAAAACGCATAAAAATATATAAATTTATAATAACCGGACATAATACAGGCATTCAACGTGTCCCCAGATAGCTGGGATCTGAGCACACAAAAGTAACGAATAGCGCTCAGATCCTATGCACACAGTCCAATCAGTCAAAGTGTTCACAAAGTCTGTTCTCCATACGAATAGACTCCACGGGATGGCTATCTGGGGTATGGCTTATTCGTGGACAAAATACAGAATACAGGGATTTTCGGGAGTTCTCTACTGAAGGAGAAGGGAGGTCGGCGGCTTCAGCGGTGTTCGGGCCAAAAAGGGCCGTTTTGAGTTACATGGGTTTACCGTTGAACGCTGAGCGGGATATGAATGGCGGCCACCCAGCTACAGGCATCAATTAAAAGGTGTCTGCGGTTAACCTCAACGTTCGAATGGGGCCAAGAGGTTAACCAGCAGCACACTTCTCTACTGGGTGGCTGGCCGTTCTGGAGTTTTATTCGGTAGTAAAAAAAGGGAATGGTAGAGTCCATATGAACGGGAAAACATGAATTAAACCAGCGAATGAACAATAAGTCTCTGTAAGTTCAAGACAGAGAGATATGTCACAAGGAGTAATGGTTGTATTTCATATGGTTTTTGTATTAACGATGATGACAGGCCATCTACATTTTTATACGATGTTTCCAAACACGAGGAGTCCATTGTAACACAAAGTGAATTTCAGATGTTCGGACAAAATAGACAAACTAAAAACATAGCGGTCAACTGAGAATAAGCTGAGAATTATTTCCAATTTTGACTATTTCTGTCTAAAATGTAAAATGCGCTCGAGGTTCACTTGCGGATGTTGAAAATTCCCTTGGGGAATAACTCTGCAATTGTTTGTAATTTAAAGGGACACTATAGTCACCAGAACAACTACAGCTTATTGAATTTGTTCTGGTGAGTAGAATCATTACCTTCAGGCTTTCTGCTGTAAACACTGTCTTTTCAGAGAAAATGCAGTCTTTACATTACAGCCTAGTGATAACTTCACTGGCCACTCCTTAGATGGCTGTTAGAGATTCTTCCTGGGTCATGGCTGACTAAAATGCATCCAAATATTGTCTGCACGCAGACACTGAACTTTCCTCATAGAGATTCATTGATTCAATTAATCTCTATGACGAGATGCTGATTGGCCAGGGCTGTGTTTAAATTGTGCTGGCTCTGCCCATGATCTGCCTCCGTGTCAGTCTCAGCCAATCCTATGGAGAAGCTGATGTCACCAAACAGCTTGTTATTCTGAGGCAAACAGCATGCAGAGCTACAGCTTCAGGCTTGAATACAAGTAAGATTTTGGAGGCATGAAGGACTGCCTATGAGTGGGGCATGGGGGAACTACCATGTTGTTTTTAGTAGAGTCGACACATGGTGGCCATGGGTGGAGGTAGTGGGTGGACAGTGACTTGTGCACCCTCCATTATTTAATTAATGCAGTCATCTGATGACAGGTAGATTGTAGATATGCCCTCACAAGTAGGATATTAAACCTTCATTATACTATGGAACACAGAATGACTAAACAATTGAAATAGCTTGTCCATTGTCTGTTTTCTTTGTTTCATTATACGACCATATGGTGTTATAGTGTTTCCTGATGAATCGGATGGTTGGATGGATAGATGGATAGGCAGACAAACAGATACATTTATATACAGACAGACACATAGATAGACAGACAGATCTATAGATAGCAGGATTGACACATGGATGGGAGAGAGATGGATGAACACAAGGCAATCGAATGGATGGTCTGTGAATTATTGGACCATAGGATATATGGTGGGACAGACAGACATAGAAATGTAGGACCATACCTGTTACTGTTCCCTGCACACTCTCTGAGATGGAGGTAGGCTGCACAGGGGTGGGCCAGCACCTACAGAAGGTGGCCAAGCTGACTGAGAGTCTGTCCCCATTACCAGACCATGCTGAGGCACTGCTGAAGTTCTCTGTGTATGGTCCTAGTGCCCAGTTCCCTCCTGCATTTTGAAAAAAACTTCAGAATACAGGAAAGGCCCCCAAGACCTATTGTTGTTGATACGGTACCCCAAAATGTGGGACAGTCCCTGGAAAATTTGGACTGTTGGCACGTATGGAAGACTAACTGGACTGGCAGAAGGATGGACAAACAGACAGGCATATGGATAAAAATGCCAGCATGCACGGGAGATAAGGGAGTGGAAAGTGCAAGAGATTGTAGGACAGACAGATAGGTAGGCAGAATACTAGGTGGACAGACGGATAACTGATCTCATAAACAGACAGACAGATAAAAAGAGATAGAAAAGTGTTTCGTTAATGCTGTTCAAATCAAGTTCTTAATCTCAAATTAAAACTATAGTTAAGAACTTCATTACAAAAACTCTACATTACTAATATGAATTCTACTCGGAGTGTTCAATATCTCATTTTATTCCGTATTTCTCTATGTGCGCACACGCGTTATATTTGTCTGGTAATTAGTATAATTTAGATTTTCACACTTTCACAGACGTTCTACCGAAGATTCTCTACTATTTAAATCCCTAAGTGGACAGAAGTTTATCGCAGCAGTACTTTTTGCATGCTGTTCCCATTATAAACTGTGGGGGGAAGAAAATATTAACGCAGAAAATCACCACTTTTTATAAAAATTGAAAAATCAAGCTGTTCTATTTAATTATACATATGGAGTCATATTTAAAAAAAACAAAAACTTGTCACCAGCCGCAAGACAGAAGCTCAAAAATAACACAGCAAACCACAGTTACTTCAGCAGGATCCAAGGTTCTTAAAAAGGAACTTTATCTGAACTAAACATCGGAGAAAAAACACCTCATGTTTACTAAGCAGCAATATTCAATGTTTGGACATTTTACACTCCGTGAAGTGGTTATAGTGTCTGGAGTCCCCTGTTGCAATCCTTCCATTCACTGTTAAACTACTTGTAACATTTTAATACTAAACAATAGTCCCCAGTAGCTCATCCCCTCTGTGCTGCTTGAGATAATGAGGAAGCATTAATCTGAGCAGCAGTGGATGCCAGTGATTGGCCTAGAGTGTCAGCTGACTGCTTTAAGCCTATCACAGCTCCCATTGCTGGTATGAATTGGTATGGCTAGATGGAAGTGTGTAATCTCTGCCTTAGCCACACCTCCAGTGTGGGTTCGGGCTGTGGGTGACCAGGGACCATCGTTTGGTGTCAAAAATGGTTTAACACTGAATTGTGGGACAGTGTCAAAGGAATCAAAGCACTGTAACCAATTAAATAAGGAGAAATGGTTCTAGTGCCTACAGTGTCCCTTTAAGGATAGTTAAAGGTACAGTGCATAAATAGGATAGAGAGTAGAGAACATTTTCAAATACAAAATATATGCAATAAACATATATAAACATCAATATTAACCCTTCTCATTTTATATAATTTTTAAAACACTGACTCAATAAACCAAGGTGAAAAAAATTAAAAAAAAAAAAAGAAAAGAAAAAAAAAGGGACCCAGAATAAATGGACCACTAAATTCACACAGACCACTTAATCGCAATGTAAGACTACCTGTCTAAATATCTGTCCGTCCGTCCATCTATCCATGTTCTTCCAGAGGTGTGTGTGCACGTGTGAAGGTAATTCTTTCAGATCTTATGTGAATGATCAAGGAAACATCAAATCGCAGATTTATTGCGACACAAATAACATGTGTAACATCATTCCGGGGCAAGGCAAAGACAGCACAGACAGACAGATAGCACACGATGCTCTTTCCTCTTCTAGAGGAGCTTAGTCACAGTCAGCAAGAGACAGATTGAAAATCTTGACATTTATACTTTCCTTATAATAACTCACACCTGCATGAGATCATTAGCCTCAACAGTTCTTATTATATAAAGCATACAGGAAAAACATTGGCCAATTAAAAGATAAAATGAAAAATGTTTCGGATTAGAAAAAAGGGAAAGTATAAAATAGAAATATGTAAAGCTAAAAACAGAAAAACAAAAATATGTAAGAGTGTTATTGTCATAAAGGAACAACAATAGCATTGCTAAGTGGAAGAGCCATGGGCATTGGTAAGAAGTGGCTTTAAGGGACAATTTAAGGGTCTCTTTAGCAATCTATCCCTTTAGGTGGCATGATAAAAGTGGGGGTTATGGAGATGGATGTGACAGAGCTCCAATACTCTGACTGAGTATCTCCACCAAGTATTTTCTCTCTCTGGAATAAGAAGATCAGAGTGAGTATAGCTAGACTCCCAAACACCAACCGAGCCTTGAAGAAGAGTAGAGTAGATACAACCTTTACTAAGCAGGTTTATATTCAAACATTCCCAAGAGGAGGTCATCAAGGCACACAATGTAATTCCACCCTAGAGCCTTTTTGTCTGGGACATAACTGAAAACAGCCAGATAATGTCATTAACTTTCACCTGTGGAACAGTCTCCCCGAAACAAAATGTTTTTACCTGAGTTAACTCCAAGTGTCATACAGCCATGGAAAGCTCTGGATATTGGGTCAGACTGTCCAAAAACAACCCGGATCGGATATTCTCTCAAAGAGAAGTTTGACCAGGCCGCTGAATTCCATGCCGTTTGGTTTGAAGTCCCGGTCACTAAAAACGGGCTGCCTGTGACTCCAGAGAAGGGAACAAATCCTGGATGTTGTTGGATGCTCCACCACCTCCCTCGCCCTCCAAATAGCTCCCTGATTAGCTCTCCAAATAGCTCCCTGTTTGATAGTTCTGGGACTGAGTAATAACTGAGTGAGGTTTCACTGCGGCATACCACAGATGTGACGCACAGTTCCATAATGTTTCTGGGTATTTCCTGGTCGGTGCTCTTCCTGATGGTAGCTTGTTAGCAGTGCATATGAGATAACAACATGTGTGGGGTACCCAAACAGCAATCCTCATGCTTTGTATAAACATTTGTAACAGTAAGGGGTATGTTGAAGCATGCACAATTTTATAAATAATATATGGTTTGGTATGATTATTCACACTTTGGTATCTCTTGCCCATCAAGCAGTAGTATAACACATGTATATTAGATTAGGTAGGTAACGTTTGGATGGAGCTGCCTGTGTTTAATTTAAACGTTAAGCCATATGCTAGTCATGGCACTCTTGCAGTTGCTTACATGGGCATTGGGCAGTTACTTGTTAAGTTCAGCTCGGTGGGCATTATTGCAACAGTAATTGTATGGTTACATGCTAGGTAAGCAAGAGTGACTGCGTTCACCACTGGGGTTGGGCTGACCGCTGTGAGGACATTTAAATAATTCAGCTAGAGGACATTTAAAGAGGAAAAAAGCAACCTTTTAGTCAGGTACACCTAGCCCCTGATCCGGACAAGTCAGCATTACCCTCCCCTGCTTTAGTTTAAGGTAAAGCATTATCAGTGTGTAACGGCTTACGTTGGTTGGGAGTCTGAAGTGCAGATATATGCTCACCCTTGCAATTAAACACAGGCCAAGGTGGTCAGGTAAGAACTCACCTGGCCTGTGAGTCTGTGCACGGGGGCTGTGCTGGTTAATGCTCCAAGTCTCAGTACAGATAGGACATAAACAGGAGAATCATCGTGGGTAAGCCAAAGGTCAGTGGGTGCCAGAAATCAGGATAAACCAGTAGAGAGCCGAGGTCAGGAATCAACAGGAGAACACGAAACAGCAATACAAGAACCAGAGTCAATGAACTGACACTGCCCTCAGGGACAGGCAGTGTCTTATACCTGGCTAGTGATGTCCCGAACGGTTCGCCGAACGGTTCGCCACGGATGGCGAACATAAACATAAACTTAGACCCTGTACCTCACAGTCAGCAGACACATTCCAGCCAATCAGCAGCAGACCCTCCCTCCCAGACCCTCCCACCTCGTGGACAGCTCACTAAGAATGCAGCTTCACAATGGATGTAAAATGGATGCTTATGTTTATGTTCGCCATCCGTGGCGAACCGTTCGGGACATCACTATACCTGGCTAATCAGTGATCAGCCACATATGAACCATGAGTGACAGGAGCAGTCTCAGGTAAATTCCAACCCCCCAGTGCTGGATACCAGGTAAGATCCAAACTGCCAGCTATTACTTAAGCTGTATGGTGGCTCAGAGGAGAAACAGCAGGCCCAGGACCGCAAATTACCCAGGTTCAAATCCCTTATTGGGCACTTCTGGAGCTACCTCTTCTGGATGTCGCAGTGAGAACTGTGACATTTCCCTCCATTGAGCCTTTGAAAGACAGAAATACAGAGCGGGTTACATGTTAAGCATTAATCAGCACTTATATGCTGGGTGGTGTCCATATGTGAGACCGTTTTTACTTGCGGGTCAGTTATAGTGTATGTAGCATTTTTGGCCGTATTCTGTAGGTAGTATCCGTGTCATAGCTGACAAGGCGTCTTGCCTCTCTGCGGGGTACTGTACATACTTTCAGCCCACGCTGCTTCTCTGCGTTAACGTAGAGTTCATCTCTGTGGGGCTATGATCCAGTAGGGGGTCGGGCTGGTGTGGTGGTGGGTATGCCGCTTTGGCCTCTGCTTCGTTGGTGTCCTCATTAAGCTCCGGACGGTCCAGTTGGCAGTTGGTTGGCTCTGTGTGTTGGGGCTCGTCGGAGCTGGCTGTGAGGCACAGCTCGGTGGTCTATGAGTGCTGCATGGTACCTTGCCTGGGGGTCCCACTCCCCGATGTGTTTGGAAGGTAAGTCGTTGGTTGTCGAGTGTCCATTGTTTGAAATGTGTTGCATTCTCCGGCACTCCGCTCCGCCTTTTCTTTCCGTTTCGGGCCTTCCCCTGCTCCGGAACCGCAGTCTTGCGTTTCCCCTAGGGGGGTGGGTGTCTCGCCTGGGTGTCGTGGCAGATTTGTGTATGCTGCTGTAGCAGGCATTGAGTCAATTTGCACCTGGTTGCCACTTTGCTTGGTGTATGCTCAGGGAGAGAGCTTTTCATCCCTCTGGCTGCGGCGCACGTGGTGTCCGCCATCTTAGCTGGAGTGTCTGAGCTCCGTTTCAGGGTGCTAGTGTTGCTGGGCTCGGGTTCTGTCACAGCAGTCTCGCCCCCAGGGTGAGGACCGGGATCACCCCCACCGGCCCGGGGGGGGGGGGGGAAACAGGGCCTTGTTCACAGTCGTTTGGGCCCCAGGCTGTGTTCCGTTAGGCAGGATAGTGGGGCAGCGGCCGTCTACCCCATTCACTGCCAGAGTAGGCCCGGATTGGGGCATTGATGCCCTCTCCTCCGTGGGACTGCAGCTCGTCAAGCCAGCCTCACCCTGGATCCAGTATCCCCTTTGCTCCGTGCACCGCCGCTGGTGGTCGCTATTAGTGCCGAAAATCATCTTTTCTATGCTTAAAGTTTGGTGGCTTGCAGGAGCTCAGAGTGCATGCGACCATCCAGCTCGGCGGTCTCGCCCCGTCCCAGCTTGTTGGCTTTTAATGCCTCCAGACATCCAGCATTGAATAGACACAAGGTGGAGGGGTTGAATGAAATGATTATAGTCCTTTGGGGAGAGATTGACCTGGAGTCCACCGCTAGTTGTAAGAATGACCGGGCCAGTCTGTCACAATGGGTTTTAAAGAGACAGAGAGGGGGTTAGATAGATAGGGTGAAACATACAGGGCTAAGAGGAAATACAGGGAGTTAGTAAGAGATTCAAGGTTGGTTGAGGAGAGATAGGGGGTTAAAGAAATGCAAAGGAGGGTTAGTGGACAAGAGGCAGTATTGGAGATATTCGAACAAGTTTGCAGTGGTTAAAGGATGAAATTGGGCAATGGGTGATTTGGGTGCTGCCTTGAAAGATACATCATTGTGTCCTTTTTTAGGATAAAGCCCAGGTGGATTTGGAACCTAGTAAACTCCCCAACAGGAAAATATTATGCTGTCAATACATTTCCCACAATGTAACAGTATCACGCCATTACGGCTCACGCCAGAATGAATCCTAATAACTACAGGTCCCCTAACAGCTATATTTAATTAAAGTAATGAATGAATTAACAATTTAAGCCTAAAGTATATTTTATCTAATATATAGTCAGAAACACACAGATTTTTGAGTCTTTTAATATGTATTCTTAGAAAACAATTCATATCTTAAATAAATAACTGGTAGCCAAGGATACCATCTTATTCATTTTTAATCATAATCACGGAGCTCTGAAACCAAACATAGATTTCTAAATGTATTACACTAATTGTACTTGCAAATTCTACAATTTAAATTCTCTTCCACAAAGCTATTGGCTCATGTTATCGTTCCAATTAGCCTTTCAGCATTGCATTAGTCCCTGGTCATTGCATAATCCTTGTTCAGCTCTCAAATGGTTTCTTTTCTAATCAATACTACCCGGTAGGATTCTTGAAGGTTAAGACTGATGCGAAGCATAATGAAAACAGACAGGTTTTTTGTATTGAGAACAGGTTAGCAAATGATCACAATACCCAATGGTGTAGATAATACATAGTTCCTGGGTTTTTTTTTTTTTATCAATGTAGGATTGCTTAATCAGAGCTAATCCAATGCAATGGTAATAGGGTGCTGGCATCATAGGCTACTGATTCTCAAACTTGCGAGCCAACTGCCACATTAAATAGCCACGTATATTGGGGTCAATATGATACCCACATTACTATAAGGGGGGTTGTAGGCCTCCTACATGGCCCCACCTGCCAAAAGTAGAGACTGGAGAGCCATTAAAAGTTAGATCCATCTTCGATTGTCTTTATAATGAGTTTAACAAGTGAATGAAAGCGGTAATAAGCGGTTTCACTGACTTAAAAGTTTTATACCTTCCCTGTACCCCGCTCTCCATGTTGCAAGTGGGGGCATGTATGCCAAACAGCCAGTGGCTGCTCACTGTAATGGCCAAATGAACCGAATTATATTCTGTCAGTGAGACATTCGGACATTTGATAAGGAAAATTTGAATTCATTCTCCGACTAAATGACTGAAACATTTCAGGCTATTTTGTCATTCTTAAGTATACATATGTACATGTCTACTAATAAAAAAGTCTTATTGGACATCCTTATAGTAAGCCATAGTTAATGGGGTTAGAACTATTTAGTATTTAATGGTCTGGGCACTTCTATGGTACTATAGATAAGAGAGGTGGCATATTAATGGGCCAGTGGATTGTGGACATTCTGTCTTTACTATAATAGTCCCTTGATTAGTCTATGGGTTTATGGAACCCAGTCTTAATGTATCACTACACATCACACGTTGGGCAGGCTCATGTTTTAAGCTTCTGAATTCAGAATGAGATTTTTAATGAGTGGATGTCCACATACTTTTGGTCAGTCTGTCGTCTTCGTATACACTGTTGCTCTATAGATTATTGTAGTCAGGGATGCCATCAAAACTGTTAAATCTACATGCTGGTAGTCTGGGACCCACACATGCGCGAACACACACCTCTCCTCCATTAACCATCTCATCATTTACATCCATCCTGTCCTTCTTCCTCTCCATACAAGAACATCAAGTAATGCTTTGTAACAGGAGGCTTGCTGAGTGCCCTGTAATTGAGTTGTGTGCCCTTGTTTGCATGGAAGCCAGAAGGCTTAGTTGCTTATTTCGGTCGCTTAAAGTTGCATGATCTGTACTCCTAGTTTGTAACTATACACAATGCATTAGACAGTGTTAAAGAGAAATGCATCACTTTGAATGAGACAGTTGCTTCACTCACTGCAAGCTGAAAAAAAGCAGATAAATGTGATTTTTTTTTTTCCATACTTAATTCATCTTTCTTATACTTTCTACACCCACTCCAGCAGGGAGACTGATCTAAAAAATCAGTGTCCTATCCCTAGGAATACTGAAAAAGTTCAATAGTCATGTCTGACAGATTTACACATGTGCAGTTGGAAGATCTCCTCATATTACAACATCCTGACAGGGGGATAAGAGAGCGAGTCTGATTAGCGTGTTCATGTAAAGCAGGCTCCGGTGTCGGAATTATATCTCCTGGTGCTGCACAATGATGTCTTCTTTCCCCCACTAGTGGATTGGCCTGAAACTGAGGTGGTGGCACTGAGTAAACTCCCTTAGCTGAGAGGTGTGCCCAACAATGCAATCTAACCAAATTTATGATCAGTCTATAAACATTTATTACATACTTTTCAAAAAAAATTTGCTTTATTTTGGCTTGTATATTTGTTTATTTAAGTACTTCCATGCTGGTTTAAAATAAATAATTGTCAAGTGATGCATGTTCCCTTAAGTTACCTCAACAGTTACGTTACCTCCTAGGAAGAATTTAGAAGCATTGTAGAAAGTGCAAGAGGGCATTCTTACACATAATGGGGATAAAATACTTACCATTAAAGATGGATTGCAGTAAATGGAAAGTGAAAACCAAAAAACTTTAAAAAAAAAAGTTTAACAAGGCAATTTAGGACAGGACAAAGGTATATAATACATATTTTTCTATATATGAATTTTATCAAGTTTTTTCTGAAAGAGTCAATACTTATAAACAGAGCATGTTTGAGCGTAGGAGTATAGAGAAAAAACAGAGACAAAGAGTTATTATACAGTAAATAGACTCTTGTAAATCATATTGTAAAGAAAATGGATTCAAAGAAATGCCAGGTTTCAAATTATACTATATGTGTCGCGAATGCCAAAGAAACCCCAGAGGGAAATAAATGTGTGAACGAAATCTGCAGGATCAAAAACTGTTCAGGCAAACAAATCCATGTATAAACTAAAGTGATAAATGCAAAATCAAACATTTACATGATTTTTTCCTTAGAATTATAAAAACACTGTTTTTAAAAAATATATATCTTTCCCGTGTTTATTTTATAAAGCGCTTATCCAGAGAGATTTTAAAACATGTAAGATTTTACAACAGCCATAATGAGATGTATTCACTAAACGTGAAATTCGCAATTGAAAATTTGGCTGGTTGTATTCAGTTCAGTTCTCCTATATTCAGTTGTTGTGGTTCGCTATAACGACTAACGACCGAATGCTACCCGAAAGAAGTCGAGTGGATCCCAGCTATTTTCAAACTGATTTATTCGCTGCAGTGAGATTTATTAGAAAGTAGTTTAGCTCTACTGCAGCTGAATTTCACTGCAGCAAGAACAATTAAATTGGACTGGGAGTAGGGTTACCCATTGACAGATATAAAATACAGAAGCATATGCAGGCATGTCTTTTAGGGCTTACAAGAGCTGATGGCCAAATGCAAGGCCAATAGGTGACATCAGAAATCATGTGTTCCTAACACTCTGAGTGGAGTTGAAAGGTGTTTAAACTTACCTTTTTTCCATCACTGCACCAGTCTCATTGTGGCTGGCCCCTCCTCCAATGCTGAGAACATCAATCTTGATTATCTCAGTCAATCCATCATTTTCCTATAGGAAAGCATTGCTAGGCTATTGCTCATGCGCCGCAAAACGCAGCGCCATTCGGCATCTCCTAATAGAGATACATTAAATTAATGTGTCTCAATGGGGTGCTTTCAGCATCTCAATGCAGAGCGTGGAGACACTGAACGTAGGTGCTGCACATTGTGCAGCACTGAAATAGGAAGCACCTCTAGTGGCCGTCTGAGGGACTAAGTTACTACGCAGCAATGTAAACACTGCCTTTTCTCTGAGAAGACAGTGTTTACATTGAAAAGCCTGCAGGGACAGGTTATAGATACCAGAATGTAGCGGTTCTGGTGACTATAGTGTCCCTTAATGAGCTACATAGTCATACAATGGGCTATTTCTGAAGAAAGAATTCCAGCTTCCACTGCAAGGATCACACAGGAACGGACGGGCAAGTTATGAACAGGCCAACAGGACTGCAGACAAGCTGATAAGGACAACTGTCACCTCAAAAATATTTTTTTACTAATCCTTTCATTAAGTATTTACATTTTTTACAATTAAGTGTATGTAAAAAAAATGAGAACAACTATTTGTTGTGAGGAAATCATCTTTAAAACCTTAAAGGACAACTTTCACCTCAAAATATGTTTTTATTATAATAATCCATTCATGTGTTTTTTCTCATTTTTTACATATATTTAATTTAAAAAAATCTATTTGCTTTCATTACTTGATAAAAAGATTGTTATGTTAAATTATTATATATTATTATATTAAAAAAATTTTTTTTGAGGTGACAGTTGTCATTTAAGGTTCTGAAGATGAATTCCTTGAGGGAGCCTTTTGCCATCAATGACAGAGCTGAAGACGCCTGCGGACGGTGGGGTCATATTGTTGGAGGAGTTGGATGTGGCTTGAGTTGCAGAAACCGATGATTGGGAGTTCTGTTGTGTAGCGCTTTTGCAGCGATATTTTAGCAAACTGGCTTCTGACGTCGAATAAAATCATTAACAATAACTGCGTTCAGTCTAATATGTCTGTCATGTACTACAGCTGGATTTTAAATTGTCCTCCTACCTCCATTAATTATGGTTGAGTTTCAACTAAACTCCTCTTCGAGTAGAACAGTCCTTGCATTTAATCAGCCTCTATTAAAAACCCAACCATTTCATGCAAATTGGCGAACTGCTAATTACGAAGGAGAGATACATACTTCACAAAGAAAGACATTTAATTTACAGCCCGTATCAAATTGGGAAAACAGAATGAATATTACTTTACAGCGTGTTCTGTTTAAATTTTAACTGTTTAAATACCAGCCAATGTCAAGATTATCCACTAAAGGTTGATTTCTCAGGAATTCCAAGTTTGCGATACATTTTTAGGCCAAAAGAGACAAATTGGAAGAATTCCAAATCCTAAAGGCAGCTGTGTTTTCAGTTGAGCTATTTTGGCATTGAATTTCAAATTCACTTTGATTCTTGACATTTTACACAAGTTAAGCTTGCACCTGCTAACCATGCAATGGTAACAATGTACAGGGCATTTATGCACGTTGACAGGTAATCATTCTTTTTGGTGCGTTATTTTAAAATACAGAAGTGGTAGTTACCAGGTATTAGTCCAAATAATATGACCTTTTTAGTGTCTTGAAGTGGTCACTGTGCCTGGAGTCTGTATGTGCAGTGTTTTTTTTATTTTTTTTCATTCAAAGTTTTCATTGTAGAGTATCTATAGTGTAGAACAGTTAGTTATCCCTTGGTTCTAGAAACTGTTACATAGTTACATAGTTACATAGCTGAAAAGAGACTTGCATCCATCAAGTTCAGCCTTCCTCACATTTGTTTTTGGCTGTTGATCCAAAAGAAGGCAAAAAAACCCCAGTTTGAAGCACAATTTTGCAACAAGCTAGGGAAAACATTCCTTCTTGACCCCAGAATGGCAGTCAGATTTATCCTTGGATCAAGCAGTTATTACCCTACATTGAAAGATTATATCCTTGAATATTCTGTTTTTGCAAGTATGCATCTAGTAGCTGTTTGAACATCTGTATGGACTCTGATAAAACCACTTCTTCAGGCAGAGAATTCCACATCCTGATTGTTCTTACAGTAAAAAAACTTTCCTTTGCCTTAGACGAAATCTTCTTTCTTCCAGTCTAGACACATGGCCTCGTGTCCTATGTAAAATCCGGTTTGTGAATAGATTTCCACACAATGGTTTGTATTGGCCCCAAATATATTTGTATAATGTTATCATATCCCCTCTCAGGCGACGTTTTGCTAAACTAAATAGGTTTAAATTTGTTAACCTTTTTTTATAGCTGATATGTTCCATTCCTTTTATTAATTTTGTAGCCCGCCACTGCACTTTTTCTAGTGCCATAATATCCTTCTTTAGAACAGGTGCCCAAAATTGCACAGCATATTCAATATGTGGTCTTACCAGTGATTTATAAAGAGGCAAATAGATTTTCTCGTCCTGAGAATGAATGCCCTTTTTCATGCATGACAATACCTTACTGGCTTTTGCCACTGCTGATTGACATTGCACATTGTTGCATAGTTTGTTGTCTATAACAATTCCCAAGTCCTTTTCGTGTGTTGTTATCCCCAATTCGCTTCCATTAAGGGTATACGTTGCTTGTGTATTCTTTACGCCGAAGTGCATAACTTTGCATTTTTCAACATTTAATTTCATCTGCCATTTGTGTGCCCCGTCCCCCAGTCTTTCTAAATCCCTTTGCAGCAAAGTAATATCTTGCTCACATTGTATTATTTTTCAAAGTTTTGTGTCATCTGCAAACACTGAAACATGACTTTCAATGCTGTCTTCAAGCTCATTTATAAATATGTAAAATAGAAGGGGTCCCAGAACAGACCCCTGAGGGACACCACTTGCCACCTCTGTCCAGCTTGAAAATTTACCATTAATGACAACTCTTTTTAAGCCAATGTTCTACCTAAGAACAAGCATTTTCATCTAGACTGATTTCCTTAAATTTGAAGACTAACCTATTGTGAGGAACAGTATCAAATGCCTTGGTAAAATCCAAATAGATCACATCCACTGCAACACCCTGATCTATACTTCTACTTACTTCTTCATAGAACGCAATCAAGTTAGTTTGACATGACCTGTGCTCAGGGGTGTATTAGCCACGAGGCAAACAAGGCATTTGCCTTGGGCGACATTTTTCAGGGGGCGGCAAAAAACACCACCCCCAAAATGCCCAGGGCAAATGTCTTGTTAGCCTCACAGCTAACTGACCTGGTGGGCGCTGGGCGGGCGGCTGGCGAGGGAGCTCTTCCTATGAGCGGTCTGCTCAGCTCCCTCGCGGCCGCAGAGTGAGTCTGGGAGCCGGGTCGATGACTGATGTGAGTGATTGTGTGTGTCTGACTGTGTGTGTGTGTGTGCGTGTCTGACTGTGTGTGTGTGTGTTTGTGTCTGACTGTGTGTGTGTTTATGTCTGACTGTGTGTGTGTGTTTGTGTCTGACTGTGTGTGTGTGTGTGACTGTGTGTGTGTGTGTGTGTGTGTGTCTGACTGTGTGTGTGTTTGTGTCTGACTGTGTGTGTGTCTGACTGTGTGTGTGTGCGTGTGTGTGACGTGTGTGTGTGTCTGACTGTGTGTGTGCGTTTCAGTTCGACTGTGTGTGTGTGTGTCTGACTGTGTGTGTGTGTGTGTGTGTCTGACTGTGTGTGTGTGTGTGTGTGTGTGTGTGTGTGTGTCTGATGTCTGACTGTGTGTTTGTGTCTGACTGTGTGTGTGTGTTTGTGTCTGACTGTGTGTTTGCGTCTGACCGTGTGTGTGTGTGTGTCTGACTGTGTGTGTGTGTGTGTGACTGTGTGTGTGTGTGTCTGACTGACTGTGTGTGTGTGTGTCTGACTGTGTGTGTGTGTTTGTGTCTGACTGTGTGTGTCTGACGTGTTTGTGTGTGTGTCTGACTGTGTGTGTGTGTGTGTGTGTGTCTGACTGTGTATGTGTCTGTGTGTCTGTGTATGTGTCTGTGTATGTGTCTGACTGTGTGTGTCTGACTGTGTGTGTGTCTGACTGTGTGTGTGTCTGACTGTGTGTGTGTTTCTGTCTGACTGTGTGTGTCTGACTGTGTGTGTGTCTGACTCTGTGTGTGTCTGACTGTGTGTGTGTGTGTTTGTGTCTGACTGTGTGTGTTTGTGTCTGACTGTGTGTGTGTCTGTCTGTCTGTGTGTGCGTGTGTGTGTCTGACTGTGTCTGACTGTGAGTTTGTGTCTGAGTGTGTGTGTGTGTCTGACTGTGTGTTTGTGTCTGACTGTGTGTTTGTGTCTGACTGTGTGTGTGTGTGTTTGTGTCTGACTGTGTGTGTGTGTGTTTGTGTCTGACTGTGTGTATGTCTGACTCTTTGTGTGTGTATTTAGAAGGTGGGGCGGGGGGGAAGGGTTGCGTGGGGGTGGTGCGGGGGTGCCTGAGTTTTGTCCTGCCTAGGGCAGCACAAAACCAGGATACACCACTGCTTGTGCTTCATAAAACCGTGCTGATTTTCGCTGATAACCATGTTCTTCTCAAGGAATTCTTGAATATTATCCCTTAATAACCTTTCAAATATTTTACCAGCCACAGAAGTTAAGCTCACAGGTCTATAATTTCCAGGCAAGGATTCTGAACCCTTTTTGAATATAGGAACCACATCTGCCTTCCTCCAATCCTCCGGAACACTTCCTGAAAGAAAAGAATCTTGAAAGATTAAAAACAGAGGTTCACTTATTTCTGCACTTAGTTCCTTAAGTACACGTGGATGGATACCGTCAGGCCCTGGAGCTTTGTTTATATTAACTTTCTTTAGTTGCTGCAGCACCTTGTCTTGAGTTAACCAATTACAATTATTCTGCAAGTTTTAGTAGCAATCATTTGCACATCTATTGCCATGGGTTCTTCCTTAATATATACGGAGGATAAATAGTTATTTAAAATTTCTACCTTTTCCTGGTCTTCATTAACTAACACCCCCGTTTCAGTTTTTAGTGTACCTACACTTTTTTATTTTTGGCTTTTTTAGAATTTATGTACTTAAAAAATGCTTTGGGGTTGGTTTTGCTCTCTTCAGCTATCATTTTTTCATTTTGAAGTTTAGCAAGTCTAATTGCCTTTTTGCACGCATTATTTGCTTCCTTATATCTTTTATAAGATGCATCTGATTTGTCCGATTGAAATGCTTTAAATGCCCTTTGCTTCTATTTTTAATCTCTTGTTTTACTTCTCTACTAAGTCACATTGGTTTTAATTTGTTTATTTTATATTTATTTCCCATTGGTACATACTGAGAAATGTACCTTTCTAATATTTGTTGGAAGATGATCCATTTATCCTCAGTGTTCTTTTCACTAAAGAGTTTATGCCAGTCAATATATTGTAAAGCTTCCCTTAACTTATTGAAATTGGCCTTTTTAAAATTATATGTTTTAGTATACCCCATGTGCTTTTGTTTTTTTGAGTTTATTTCAAAGGACACTATATTGTGATCACTATTTCCCAAGTGCTCACCTACTTGAATGTTGGTCAAAAGATCAACGTTGTTTGTTAAAACCAGGTCCTTACAAGCATCCATTCTAGTTGGTGCTTGCACAAGTTGTGACATGAAGGTGTCATTTAACAAGTTTAAAAACCTAATTCCCTTTGCTGAGCTACTAGTCCCTCTGTCCCAATTTATGTCCGGTAATTAAAATCTCCAATAATTAAAGTGTTACCCAGATTTGCAGCTTTCTCAATTTGCTCAGACAGCTGTTGTTCCTCGTCAATATTAACGTTAGGTGGTATATCCCAACCAATAGTTGGTTTCCCTTCTTTTCCCCCAAGCAGATATTTACCCATAAAGCTTCCACATTTTCCTCATCACATTCCATTTGCTTAAGATTTGGCTTTAAATCATGGTTGACATACAAACATACCCCACCACCCTTCTTGTTTTTCCTATCCTTCCTAAATAACATGTACCCATTTAAGTTAACTGCCCAGTCATGTGTCTCATTCCACCATGTTTCAGTTATGCCTATTATATCATATTGTTTAGTGTATGCTAATGCCTCTAGTTCCCCCATTTTGTTATTTAGGCTCCTTGCATTAGTAAGCATACATTTAATATTATGCGTCACTTGTATATTTTGTGAATTATCAACATTACATAGCTTCTCTGTTCTGAGCTTGCCCCTCCCCCCATCTCCACCCCCCTTATACTGTGCTAAAGCCCATCTCCTTTCTGTCCTATCTCCATTTTGTAGATTGCTATGACCCTCCCCCCCTACTACTAGTTTAAAATCTCCTTCAACCTTCTAGCCATCCTATCCCCCAGCACTGCAGACCCTCTCCCGTTTAGGTGCAATCCATCACCACTATAAAGGTTGTACCCAATCGCAAAGTCGGCCCAGTGCTCTAAAAACCCCAAACCCTCCTTCCTGCACCAAGACTTAAGCCACGCATTGACCTCTCTAATCTCCCGCTGCCTTTCCACTGTAGCGCGTGGCACAGGTAATATCTCAGAGAATACCACCTTGGAGGTCCTTTTCTTAAGTTTGCTACCTAATTTCCTGAAATCATTCTTTAGGACCTTCCATCTTCCTCTTACTTTGTCATTGGTACCAACATGGACCATGACCGCTGGGTCATCCCCTATTATATCTTTACACCAGTAAGTAAATTCACATGGGATATTTGGGAAATAGCACAAATGCACATAGATTATTCTTCACAAGGCTGTCCTAGACATAAGTATGGAAGATACAGTACCGCAGGATTTATCATGTGTACAATCCATACATTGCCTGTCTTAGTCGTATCGAATGAAGAATAATTGAAATACGGATCCAAAAATAACTCATTAATTAGGATTTCTATAGTGTGTTCTGTGTATTCTGTTTAATGTGAGAAAGTTTATAATACTCTGCAGGGTATGAAATTTTACTCGTAGGCAGCGGCCTTCCCTGGCCTCCAGCTCTCCCTTCCCGATCATCCAAGGATCCCCCCGGCTCCCTCTACAGTGCGAGGATCAGTAGGAAAAGAATGTAAGGCTGACCTGAGTGGGTCCCCCCACATGATGGGGAGGGTCTCTCCCCCTCCACCCCCAATGTACAGAAGGATAAAAGAGAAAGTCGGGAGCCAGGCATGTTGAAGGGAGAAGGAGGAGGAAAAAATATATTTAGGGGGAAGGGTAGGGGGGAGATCAGTAGTACCCCCTCTGGGTTTTGTCCCGCCTCGTCTTGCTCCCCCCCACGAAGTCCGCAACCCCCATCTCCGAGCGACATAGCGTAGTTGGCAGGAAGAGGTTAGTCATCATCTACTCGCCATTACTTCCATATGACCTGTGATTTGTATCCTTGGATATCCATTGCGTCCAATGATGGAACCATATCTCATGATACAATTGGTCTTTTCCAGACGCCGTGAGATTGAGCTCCTCAATCCCTCTTATCTCCTCCACCCTATTTGCAGTGTTTTACTTTTGTTGTACCAAACGCCAAAAGGTGGAACTGCACTCAATCCATAAACAAAGCCTGGGTGCAACCAAACTTGGGGCCACCACCAAGGCCCAAGAAGTAGTTTGCGGTCACTGAAGAAAAAGGTCCAGACACTCCACGGGTCTTTTTTAAGCTTGAAGACCCTAGAGTCAAAACGTTGTTGCTGGACACTGTAGTTCAGTAAAATGCTGATCTTAGCCATGGAGTGCCTGGACCTTTTTCTTCAATGACTGCAATGTACCATTTATTGGCAGAGAGTGGTCAGCGAATGCTGAAATGGAGGAGACAGAAACGTCAGAACTTGGAACCTCTGAGCCAAGTGGGGACCCAGGTAAGAAAGCTTACTGTTGCTAAATGTCTTGTCCCATTACCGGGGATCCAGACCAGGGTATTCTTGGCATCATAACCACTACAGCTGCTAACACTGTAACGCAAGATGAGATTTGTATGACAGAAACTGCAATCAGATTGAAGCTGTTTTATGACAGATTCCCACTTCAACTCAATGAGATAGGATATGTCATCTGAAATGAAATGCCTTACAGACATTTAACATTAGGAGAGCAATGAGCAATGCAGTAAAAAAAAATACACTGGACAAATTCTATCGGACTTTTTATGATCATCATTATATTTTTACTGCTAAACTGTACCGCTACAAATATTTCAGCTGAGAATCTAGTCGCACGTATACTTCCTGCCTCTCTCTAAATCACCATGACAGTCCTTTCGATCTTTGTGTCAATGTCCCAAGAAAAGCGCAGCGTGCATTATGATATTGTCATCATATGCTTTTTTTTATAATTTTATGTATTTATTTTTTACTTGTTACCTATACACACAGTAAGCTGTCAGGTTATCAAACTATAGTTTATAGATCGCGGTTGTAGTTATAAATTGCTTAATTTCTTTTTTTTTTCTTTTTTTTTTTTTTACCCCTTAAGGACCAAACTTCTGGAATAAAAGGGAATCATGAAATGTTACACATGTAATGTGTCCTCAAGGGGTTAAAGAAATATAAAGGTATATATAAAGCTAAATGTTACTGTAGCAGAGCTGCATTAAATCCCAATATCTCCGCTGGTAGAATAAAGTAATCCGAGAGAAGAGCTGAATGAAGGCAATATCCCAAATCCCCCAGTAACCGGACGAAACACAGTTCTGGGAGTCAACTGAGGCTTTATTGAAATGTCACCAAATTTATACGGTTGTCCCTGCACAGGGTTTCCAGACTGGGACAGCAGGGGTTTTACTCAAGTGGACTGTGTGGGAACCTGACCATGCAAGGTCCTTTCCCAGCATCCCCTGCTGTACAGGGCCAATAATTACATCATCAAGCACAGATAATTATGTTAACAGTTGGTACAGTGAAATCTGGTATTATACATTAAAATACATAACTTCGGTAATTTCCAACATATTTTCCTCATTAGATTGCAGGGATCTGAATGAACAATCTCTCGAATTGCCGCTCAGATCCCTGCAGAAATAGGCGAACGACACACAGAAAACCATTGTTAGTGAACCGGGTCTAGAAAGGGAAAACTCGCGAACGGCTTTAATTCACAGAAAGAGCGAGTTTCCCGAACACTATGGAAGTCCAGCGGTGTTTGGAAATCCAGTAGCCGATTTGAGTTCCAGGCACTCGATGACCAAACACAGCTGAACTCTTAGCGAACAAAGATGGCTGCCGCCACGTGTTCGGTGCACGAACGGCGGCCACACACATGAAGCCAATTAACCGCTTGCAACAATGTTGCAACTTGGCTAATGAGAGACACACAACCTCACCGGGGTGGTCTCCCGTTCGGTAGTTAGGTAGTGTAGGTAGTTTCCCGAACAGTGTTGCAGATTACTGTTCGGGAAACGGATGCTGTATCCCCATAGACGAACAGTAAGGGATACGGCCATTTTAAAGTCCCGAACACAGTTCACAGTAATAGAGTGTTTTACAGTCCCAAGTGGCTGGGCCTGCCACAGTTACTTATTACAGGGATCTGTATCTGACTTTCCTGTTACTTATTACAGGATAGTCAGATACGGATTCCTGTAATAAGTAACAGATAGCTTTATATATACCTTTATTTTGGCTGTATAATTATCTACAAACGTAACACTGATGTCTGAGAACTAGATGTGTTGGTTGCTCTAGGTTCTTAATTAGAACAACCATATAAATAACATTTCCTTAATAATAATTAAAAATGCTGCCGTGTGATTGGCTGTTAAAGGGCAACCAAACTGTCCACTTTCGTAAATCCGTATCACTACAAGAGTTCCTTCTGCCCGTGTCCACTTGTATTTGATTGCATAGGGAGCCAAGTAGGGATTTTCTAAATTGGAATTCCTGTGTCAAAGTATTGGACACCATAATGCTCTGTGTGTTGGTTGGTTATACGGGCACTATTAGCACCAGTGGGGCTGGCCACCCAATGGCACTCTTAATTGTGGGCTTGTTGGAATCTTGTGTGCTAAAAGAAGTATGGCCAGTGGTCCTCACTGTGATTTCCCTGGCCCCTAAATAAAAAAAAATACAATTAAAATTAAGTGTGTGTGTGTGAGGCTGTTTTTGTGCATATTAATGTTTGTGTATATGAGTCTCTGTGTGTGAGCCTTTATGTGTATATGAATCTGTGTTTGTGTGGGAGTTTGCAAATGAGTCTGCACACGTGTATACATGTGTGTTTGAGTCTTTGTATCTGTTTATGAATTTTTGTGTCTGTGTATGTGTCTGTGAAAATGACGCGACGCAGGCGCACCAACATCATGACATTAATGACAACACAGCCAGCCAAAACGTTTGAATTCAAATTTGTGGTTAAAGAAACAGACTATAAAAAAGCTTCGGAGGGCATGGGTCATTGCCCTGTTGTGGTTCTAATTTTAGTTCCCAATAGTGCTTGTATTTTCTGTGTGTTTTTTAGTATATTGATCTATTCTGACTATTCTCCTTTCTGTTAGCCCTGACTTGGCTTGACTTTCCTGATTTCTGGTATCCCTGACTCGGTTTGTCCCTGACCATTCTCTAAACAACAAACGTAAAGACCGTCCACTCTAAGGACCGGCATACGTTTACTTACGTCTATTATCTTTTACACTCTGCGTGTTGGGTCCATAGGAAATCGTGACAGTTCCTTTGTCAAAGTCACTCAGATTTTTCACTTGCTCATTTTTCCTGCTTCCAACACATGAAATTCAAGAATTAACTGTTCACTTGCTGCGTAATATATACTACCCATTGACAGGTGCCATCGTAACAATATAATCAATGTTATTCACTTCATCTGTCAATGGTTTAATGTTGTGGCGGATAAGTGTAAACTAGCAGTGGATTCCATGTGTTACTAAAAAGAATACAAGAACGATAAAAATATAAAATATTGTTTTTTTTTTGTTTGTTTTTTAAGTTTAATATGTAAATATTATATATTATTGTAATTACATAAATTCTCAGCTGAACAGCATGTACACAACATAAGGGGAAATTTACAAAGAAAATGTCCCTGACCGCTTTCCCAGAGTGGTCTGGGAAATATACAAATTACCATAGACAGAGCATAGACACATTGAAATTTTTCCGATTTTCAATCCCACATTTCAGTAGGCTTATTTTGCAAAAAAACTGCTGTTTTAGAACATTTCATGCCAGTTAGAATAACAATGAACCAATATATTTGTGTTTTATGGGGCTCTTCAGTGTGATACTGGATTTAGTTTGTATTTATAAATCTTTCTGACACTATCAAGCTTGTAGTGAGAGAAAAAAGTGACAAAAACTCCCAGCTGACTTTATACATTTTCAAATAAAATATTTTATATCGTCCTTACACCATAAGGCAAATTAGGAATAAACTTGCCCAGACACATCAGCTCTGAAAGATAAACCAGTTAATGTGATACAGAAAATTATAGTATAAATCAATGTAAATGTAGAAATCAGTGTACGAGAAACATTAAATGCTTGTAATGAGTATAAAAAAATAATAGTTTCACCTTGTAAAATTTTCTTTTAACTTATTTTTATTCTCTCACTAACTGTTACATAAAATATTCTTTTATAGAAACCAGATTGGATTTTCCTCTGTATCAGTATGCTAAAATTTAGTTTAAAGAACGTATACTTAAAATTCTGATCAGTCTCTATGTTTATTATTTTCATATTTTTGTTCGGCTCGGTCCTCAAAGAAACTCGCGCTCTTGCGCATATGTTTTTTGAAGTCGATTTTCTACAAAGTAATGTAGTTCAATAAACAATCCTACTGGAATGTGTCTAAACAAGTGTATGGGATATCACGTTTGAAAAGATTAATGCGTACAGTATCTCAGCAGCTGTTGCATATGGGCTCGGCTAACACTCGTAGCTTCAAAAACAGTGCTGTGCTTGATGCTATAATTTCCACTCACATATTTTCTGAATAACAATTTCATATGTTTCCTCTTTTTATAAAGCAGAACAGTGATAATGAATGTATTCTATACACAGATTATATCGCTACAGTTGTTCTGTGTTTGTTTAACTATTAACTCCTTCAGGGCCAACTCTGTTCAATCATAACAATATGTTTTTAAAGATTCCTATTCAATAGCAAGTCAGTGCTATATAAGTAAGAGCAGAGACATACCTAGACACCTCTACCTCCCCCTATAAAAGAATACTTGGTGGGGATTACACCACCTACTCCTGTATAGAGATGTCGCGAACTGTTCGCGAACTGTCCGCCGGCGAACAATAGCATGTTCGCGTTGGGCGAACATATCCGATTTCTGGTCCGCCCCCTATACGTCATCATTGAATAAACTTTGACCCGGAACCTCACAGTCAGCAGACACTTCCTGGGAGGGAGGGTCTGCTGCCGATTGGGTGGAATGTGTCTGCTGGCTGTGAGGTTCCGGGTCAAAGTTTACTCAATGATGACGTACAGGGGGCGGACCGGAAATTGGATATGTTCGCCCAACGCGAACACGCTATTGTTCGCCGGCGGACAGTTCGCGAACAGTTCGGCGGACAGTTCGCGACATCTCTACTCCTGTATCGTAGAGCTGGGTGCCTGCTCTATATAATGTGAGTAATTTTTTGTATATGTGTGCCCAGATCCGAAGAATTTATGATGCTGCTTTCACCACTGATATTGACTGTATTTATTGGACAAGGCTATTGTGTGCGGTTACCTAGCAAGTCGTACTCCAGTTTTATTATTTACATTTTTGGACTTTTGTTTCTTTTTGTTGTTGGATACTTTTTTGGGGCTAGAGGGTATACCAAATCCTTAGGCGTCCTTTAATCTTTTGTTTTGGTCACTTGGCGCTGATCCACCTTTCCTCTTTTCTTTTAGCTTACTGCTATCACCCCCAACCGCTGAACCATAGAATTTTTTTTGTGTATCACAAAGCACCCCCAGCCCTTTTTGTTAGGGAAATTACATGCACATACTGACATTCATATAAACATACAGTGAGGGAAAAAAGTATTTGATCCCCTGCTGATTTTGAATATATGCCCATTGACAAAGAAATGATCAGTCTATAATTCTAATGGTAGGTGTGTTTTAACCGTTAGAGACAGAATAACAAAAAAGAAAATAAAGAAAATGGCATGTCAAAAAAGTTACAATTGATTTGCATGTTAATGAGTGAAATAAGTATTTGACTCCTTTGACTTAGTACTTGGTGGCAAAACCCTTGTTGGCAATCACAGATGTCAGATGTTTCTTGTAGCTGGCCACCAGGTTTGCACACATCTCAGGAGGGATTTTTTTCCAGTCCTCTTTGCAGATCTTCTCCAAGTCATTAAGGTTTCGAGGCTGACGTTTGGTAACTTGAACCTTCAGCTCCTTCCACAGATTTTCTTTGGGATAAAGGTCTGGAGACTGGCTAGGCCACTCCATGACCTTAATGTGCTTCTTCTTGAGCCACTCCTTTGTTGCCTTGGCTGTGTGTTTTGGGTCATTGTCATGCACGACCCATTTTCAATCCCTGGCTGAGGAAAGGAGGTTCTCACCCACAATTTGATGTCAAATGGCCCCGTCCATCGTCCCTTTGATGTGGTACAGTTGTCCTGTCCCCTTAGCAGAAAAACACAACAAAAGCTTAATGTTTCCACCTCCATGTTTGACGGTGGGGATTGTGTTCTTGGGGTCATAGGCAACATTCCTCCTCCTCCAAACACGGCGAGTTTAGTTGATTCCAAAGAGCTCGATTTTGGACTCATCTGACCACAACACTTTCACCCAGTTCTCCTCTGATTCATTCAGATGTTCATTGGCAAACTTCAGACAGGCCTGTACATGTGCTTTCATGAGCAGGGGGACCTTGTGGGTGCTGGAGGATTTCAGTCCTTCACGGCCTAGTGTGTTACCAATTGTTTTCTTGGTGATTATGGTCCCAGCTGCCTTGAGATCATTATCAAGATCCTCCTGTGTAGTTCTGGGCTGAATCCTCAACATTCTCAGGATCATTGAAACTCCACGAGGTGAGATCTTGCATGGAGCACCAAACCAAGGGAGACTGACAGTTATTTTGTGTTTCTTCCATTTGTGAATAATCACACCAACTGTTGTCACCTTCTCACCAAGCTGCTTGGCGATGGTCTTGTAGCCCATTCCAGCCTTCTGTAGGTCTACAATCTTGTCCCTGACTTCCTTGGACAGCTCTTTGGTCTTGGCCATGGTGGAGAGTTTGGAATCTGATTGATTGCTTCTGTAGACAGGTGTCTGACTCCCAAGTGTCTTTTATACAGGTAACAAGCTGGGATTAGGAGCGTGTTTAGGAGCTTTAAGAGAGTGCTCCTAATCTCAGCTCATTACCTGTATAAAAGACAATCACTTTATAACTTTTTTTTCCAAAGGTGTTTTTCTGGATTAGCTTTTTGTTATTCCGTCTCTCACTGTTAAAATACACCTACCAATAAAATTATAGACTGATCATTTCTTTGTCAATGGACAAACGCTCATTTGCAGATTCATAGATTCCTATACACATGCAGACTCAGACACAGAGACTCATGCACACAAACTTAATATGCACACACACAGGCTCATACACAAACACTTATTTTTCATTTGATTTCTTTTTTTTATTTTGTAGGTGGAGGAAATTATAGTGAGGTCCACCTAACCTCCAGTATCTTACTTTGAAAGGGAGAGCTGGAGTGGAACGTCATTCCTTGTGTCCAGTCATTCAATGCAAGGATCTCTCTGCCATGATTACCCAGCTCCCTGCAGGTCTTCCCTGATGCTGGGATAAGCCAAGAATATGTATATACAAAAAACACACGCCTTTACCCTCAGTGTTAGGTGTGAAATAAAAACACTTATCTTGTAGAGAAATGCACAGCCTTCCCTGATGCTATCCTGGAGTGATGTCACACACATGGGGGAAAAATCAACACAGACAGCGGCAGAACGGGCACCTCCTGTGCTACACCCTTGCCAGCAATGTACTGGTAGACAGGCGCCTCCTCTGGTTAGAAGAAACACCACTGGGAAGGATACATCATAGTGGTATAAAGTGTTTAGGAATCGGACTGTGATGGTAGCAAAACAATTACAGGGATCCATAAGAGTTTAACATGGCCAGATTTATACTCAGGGTTTTTCTATATATAAACAACTGAGGCATCTATTATGTTCAATATTTAGTTTAAAATAATCAAACCAAGATCAATCATATTTGCGTTGTTAAATTATTGAGCTGCAGGGATACACTAATAAATCTATGTATGAAAATGAGTGGCATGAATAGAAATGGATCAGGATGTAGAAGGTCTAGTTTCGGGGCCATCCTGCCTACCAGGCACCCTCCCTCCCCCAAACAACACGTACCTCCCCCATGTTGCAGACACTAAACCTGTTCCTATATTCCTCTAGCCAAACCAGAAAGAGATACCAGATATATCGGATATTACTCAAAGATCAGAAGGTCATAATAGGTCCCTTAATATGATGCATATAGTACATATAGCTTCCTCTGTAATGAGTAGTATGAATTTACTGCTTGTTATTATTTTTAGAAGAACTTTAGCAGGATTCAGTTGAATGCAGGACAGTAACTTTTAATAGTAGACAAGTATCAGATTAACAGAACAGTGAATGGCTACAGAGTCAGAATCCGTAACATCTTGCTACAGCTCCACATAATGTCCAGTCTGCCAAATACACATATCATGTATGATGATTACAAATGTTACTTTGGCCTTTATCCATTTTTGAAAACTGCCTTGCCTACCAAAGGGCTTTGTGAGGGACAGCTTAAATATGTAATATTATTGCTGAGGCCAGTAAAAAACTAAATCTAAACATAATTTCATGAATAATTTCAGTTGTGTTTTGAAGAGTTTGTTGAGGTAAGTCCAAAACCAGAAGGCCTTAAAATAAGAGACAGTGCTCCAATCTCGGAGTCACGCAGAGCCAAACAGGACCCCCAGCAACGAACAGAAGTAGACAGAAGAGTAATTTAGAACCGTACTCATGAAAAGCTTTTAATATCCAATTTCTCCTTTTTCCATGTTAGTGAGTAAAATATGATATAAATGAGATACTTGTTAATCAAAACATCCAAAATAGTAGCATTCGTGTGTTAAGTTAAAAAAGGTAGACTATTTTTTGGCACACAGATGTGGACCATAGTGTTGATGTTCTCCGAATATTGTTACAACTCCTTTGTACCATCACATACAAGGATTTGTATGTGATGATACCTGTGTATTGTACAAACTGATGTGTATATGATGTCAATTATCAAGGTTCTCTCTTTTGGCTGATGCTACACCCCTCCGTGCACCTCGGTCACAATTTCTTCTTCTTTCTCTACCCTCCTCCCCATTCCATCTTGGTTCTAAAAATTCAACAAAACTTCCAAATTTAAATAGTAGCTAACCTTGGTTCATTCATTAAGCTGAAAATTGCAGAACACTGACGAGGGAATTGCAAATTTTAAGGGGAAATAGCTAAACTGGTAAATAGTTGAGTTTGAGTATTTGTTCCAATTTGGTTACAAAAACTACTTGCATTATTCTTGTTCATTTTTAAAAATGCCCAGTTTTATAAAAATGCCCCTAGTTGAAACATCCACAAATTCCAGAAACCGCTAATCTAGATAGTTTAGAAAAGGGTTAATGCCTTGCAAAAGAACATTTTTATAATCTTATGATGCTCTGCGCATTCTTATAAAACTAACCTTAGGCTGTTTGGCCGCATTCAATCACAGCGTACAGGAATTGTGTTGTAATTAAGTTTACCACTGGAATATCCAAAACATAAGCGCTCTGTATTTTGTAATTTTGCCTCTAGAGTCTCTTTCTCGCAGCAGTGTGGAACAGTGTTCCTTTGTTCCAGCCAAGTCACGAACAATGTTGTTCTCTGCTGCAATCCCAGTTACTCTTGTATATACAAGCTACTATGGGATAGTGAATCGGAACAGCTGGTATTATGAGCAAACCGCTGTGAGCACGCTACAGCTAAGCCAGACTTTTATGTGGATCTTGCTGTGTGCTGATTTTGTACTTGGGTACTTTAATTAGTTTGCTGTCTTGTTTTAGATAATAGCTTCTGCGAGAGAATAGCGAGTTTCTGTTTCACGAGCGCTGTTACGGTTTGTGTTGTAATGCACAGGCAAAATGGATTAGATGACAAAGGAATTATTGCAGCAATTGCAGTGATTTATGATATTTGATTGCATCAATTATAGTACGTTTTAATACTATAATCATCTTGCATAATAGAACTCTATTGTTACATAATTGCACAATAAAATCGCTTATAAAGATTATGTGTTCCATTCCCAGAGCTCAAATATTCAAGCAGTAGAGGATTACACTGCAGGAGAAATTGGACAATGTACTCAGAGCTTCATATACATATACAAAGACCCGATTGACGTTTCAACCCCAATTGGGTCTTTCTCAAGATCCAAGAAAGACCCACTTGGGGTCGAAACATCGATCGGGACTTTGTATGTGTTTTTTTGAATTCATTAAAGTAACACAGTAAATAAAAAATAAAAAATCCCTTGGAGTGCACCTTAATTTTAGGACTATCTTGTTAAAGAGGATTTTCACCAGGGTACCAATTTATTATTATGATTTATGAGGTGAGTGTCAAGCTCTCTCTCTCTCTCTCTCTCTCTCTCTCTATATATATATATATATATATATATATATATATATATATATATAGCACACTTCTCACTTGACCTATGAATAAAATTAATATTTAGTTATCTTTTTTTCAAATTAAAATTATTAACACACACACACACACACCCCTCTCCCCAGATTATGTTGGACATTGCACTTTTTGATTACTATGTAACATATATATATATATATATATATATATATATAACAAAAAAAGCCTTGCACTCCTACCAAACTTTAAATAGAACCCGGTGCTCGATTGCACAATAAATACCAAGCAAAAGAAAAATCAGCACTCCCAGGATTTGTAAATAAGCCAAAAAAATACTTTACTCCACAGGTCAACGTTTCAGCTCCTCTTGGGAGCTTTCATCAGGACAGCATACAAAGCATAAATGAAAAACAACACAGCTTAAATAGGGACATATATCCAATTAAAACTCACAATCCAGGTGTGATGATGGAGAACCTCCCCTCCTCTCGAGCGTCCGCTCAAACACTATCAATTCCCGGCATTTCCCCACTTCCTGCTCACGCCGTCACGTGATATACGTGACATCACCACGTTCATTACGTTGCCATGGAGATCGGGACGCCATTGCGTCTAACAACGATCTCCTCAGTTACTTCCTGAATGGCTGCGTCGTCCGTAGTCATAGTGATACCGGACGCATGCGTATCTAGCTTGGATATTCCGGTCTCTACATTTATCCTCCACCAAGGAAGGAATTAAAGCTGTAACCTGTGTATATACTAAAATCTAGAGAGAGGGGAAGAAAAGGCCACATATACAAAACGAACCCCTAAATCCTATAATAAAAACCAAAGGTTAATGGTACTATCCACCTCTATGTGAATACAATAGTGACAACACCAATATTTAAGATCCAAACAACGATCCCATGTTCTATAAAAATTATAACTAACCCACTAATAACATACTGAGCTAATAATTAACATACTGTGAAATAACCTTAAGCAAGGTGTTATAAAGATAGACAATAATGTCATTAGCAATATGTGTATATGATTGTGGTAATATTCATATTTGGACATCCATAAGGATGTATCCTTAATCATGTGTCAAACTCATGATCGATTATACATCTATCCAAACTTTAAAGTGCACGTGCATATATACTTGTGGACACCTCATCCCTTGCAAAAGTTTCAATCATCCACACACGGGACAAATATTCAGAATACAATATAGAATCAATTGTCGGACTGACTTTGTTATTTATAAGTTGTCCTGTCCTTGTGGGCTTAATTACGTTGGAAAAACGGAGACCGCCCTCTGTGAGAGGATAAGAGGACATAGGTCGAGTATTAGATTAGCCTACAGGGATAATAAGTCTGACAAACCGGTCGCACGACATTTTTTGGAAAAAGGTCATCCCCTCACATCATTGAAATGTGTGGCGATAGACCATGTCCCAGTTTCCAGAAGAGGTGGCAATAGACAAGAAAGACTTTTGCAAAGAGAAACATGGTGGATTAAGAAACTGGGAACTCTAGCTCCAAATGGACTAAATGAAAAACTGTCCTTTGTTGCCTTTTTATAATTAAAGGGGGCGTGCGATAGTGGGATGACAATTAGAAAATATTGTGGTCCTGCTTAGATGCATGCCAGCCCCTTTTTGAATTTTTCAATTCTTCTACTTTTTAAATCATTGTTTATTATTAGATACATTTTATGTTGAGAATTTGTCATGCTTTAGACTTTTCTAAATTGGGACTTCCAATCCAGGTTGTGCTGAATCGTCCACATATGATATGCCCTTTTCCTGTTTGGGGTTTTTATTGGTACAATAAGGGACTTACTTGTGTCCTTTTGTCAGATGTTCTGTCCAATAGGGATTTAGGACATAGATGACTATATGAATTTATGGATTGGCATGGAGTTAATCTTGGATTCTAGGCACTGTTTCACTTTAATTACTGATATTGTCTATTATTGTTTTTCACGCAAATATATGCACGTGCACTTTAAAGTTTGGATAGATGTATAATCGATCATGAGTTTGACACATGATTAAGGATACATCCTTATGGATGTCCAAATATGAATATTACCACAATCATATACACATATTGCTAACGACATTATTGTCTATCTTTATAACACCTTGCTTAAGGTTTTTTCACAGTATGTTAATTATTAGCTCAGTATGTTATTAGTGGGTTAGTTATAATTTTTATAGAACATGGGATCGTTGTTAGGATCTTAAATATTGGTGTTGTCACTATTGTATTCACATAGAGGTGGATAGTACCATTAACCTTTGGTTTTTATTATAGGAATTAGGGGTTCGTTTTGTATATGTGGCCTTTTCTTCCCCTCTCTCTAGATTTTAGTATATACACAGGTTACAGCTTTAATTCCTTCCTTGGTGGAGGATAAATGTAGAGACCGGAATATCCAAGCTAGATACGCATGCGTCCGGTATCACTATGACTACGGACGACGCAGCCATTCAGGAAGTAACTGAGGAGATCGTTGTTAGACGCAATGGCGTCCCGATCTCCATGGCAACGTAATGAACGTGGTGATGTCACGTATATCACGTGACGGCGTGAGCAGGAAGTGGGGAAATGCCGGGAATTGATAGCGTTTGAGCGGACGCTCGAGAGGAGGGGAGGTTCTCCATCAGCACACCTGGATTGTGAGTTTTAATTGGATTTATGTCCCTATTTAAGCTGTGTTGCTTTTCATTTATGCTTTGTATGCTGTCCTGATGAAAGCTCCCAAGAGGAGCTGAAACGTTGACCTGTGGAGTAAAGTATTTTTTTGGCTTATTTACAAATCCTGGGAGTGCTGATTTTTCTTTTGCTTGGTATATATATATATATATTAGCTCAGAATTCAGAAATGCTATTGAACACTGATCGGTCCAAATTCAGCCACATTGTAGTTTGGTCTCAAACAAATCTTCATGTCTAGTTTCAATGTTTATGGTGTCCGGAATTTAGAGGTATGGTACAGGTAGAAATATGTGATATAAGAAAGAGATTAGTTGAGAGATCTAACTCACATTCTCCCTGTAAAGTTGAGCTTATTATACACAGGATGTAGTAAGCTAGTTTAGTGGGTTAATGCACCTGCCATAGAAATCTATGTGTGTCCTTCACTGACCTATGAACGTTGAAATATTTGTAGAATTTGTTAACTGGTCATTACATGACTTTTTTTAGATTACTTTTATTTAACACGTTTTGTTAACCACAGCTATTAAAAACACAAACATTTTTATTTTATTTTGGCACGATGCTCATGAAAGAGACCTCCGCAGCCAATCACTATCAGTTTGAGGTTCCCTAAATAGTCGCAAATAGTCGTACAGAGCTAAGAGAGGATTAATGGGTTTGAGTGGATGAGGGATGGGGATGATTTTGATGACCTATGCGTTTTCTTGCTTTACCACAGATCACCATGTAGGAATATAATGTATTTCACTCCTTTAAGGGACATTGAAGTTCTTGATAATGCACCATAACATTCTTATGGAGTTAATGCTTATTTCACAGGATTCACCGAATTCATAATGACAAAAGGCCATTTTTTTACCTGCTGGCTTTTAAACCTGTGACTTTTGGGTTACAAATCTATTACTACGGCAAGAGTGAGACACAAATGAGCAATTTTATCCACTACACGTGTGTTTAATTACCTTATGGCAGAATAACTTGTAGTCTGATAATGACCAATTAACAATAGTAATAATAATAATGGGAAAATGCTAAACTTCTCATATAGAACTTGTATACCTGATAGGACACAAAGTGCTTAGAGTACACTCTCAATTTTTTTTTTTAAAGTTGTTACCTGCATAAAACTCTATAACAATTAAAGTTTACATTCATTTTCAGCTGACATAAGTTGAACAGGCACATATATAACATCTCATTTAATTAGTCAATCGGTAACTTCAGTATATGCAACATGTGAGTGTTATCACAAGTAATAAACTTTCAACATTAATGACACAAGTTGCTAAAGTAGACATTTGATATTGATATGAAGTGGGACAAAATGATCGCTTGGAGTGCCAAACAGAAAAGAAAAATGGCAGGTGTCATAAGCAAATCTGAGAAACTACAGATTGTTTGACCACCGACAGTGGCTCAAATAAAGTGAGAGCAGTTTCCTGCTTTTATAACTTTTAACTTTCAGTTTATAGTCTGCAGAGATTGCACCAACGAAGCATTATACTGCCTTGTGGTAGAAAACAAGCAAACATAAAGGCTCACTCCCATCATACCATGCCAGTTAATTTATGTCCTACAGAGGAGAAACTTGGTGTCACATACAGAGAAAGGGAAAAGAGAATTGAAGGGTTCTCCCACATCCCGGGAAAACACCAAGCGCCGACAGGCACCCACCACACACTCCACTTGTAGCTGCTCTCCTAAAACTGGGGGTAACCCTTACAGAAAATACCAAACAATACAAAAAATTCCACGGACTCCTACAAATAGAGGAGAACTATGGTGGGGAGCACAATAAAGAAAAAAGGGGTACCCTAACTATTTTTCCCCCATTCTTTGTCTTTCCCTTCCCCCTTTCTTTTTCCTTCCCTCCATTTGGTGTTAGTATTTGTATTCATTCAATTTGCATGGAAGAACAGAAATACAATAGTGTATGGGAAAGAAAGTACAGTGGTACATGAATTCACCACTTATGACCCGGTAGTGTTGTGGTACACTGTTGGTTTGGTTGTAGATATGACAGGCAGGAACAATGTGAACTAGGAGATCTTCTCAGGCTTAGTGGCTTCGTAGATAAGGCCTATATTGAGAGGCATGATCACCGAACTACATCGTACACTTTCTAACTTTAAGCTATTGGAGGTACCACTGGTTTTATTATGCTAGTCATCAGGTAGATAGTCTGTCCAGCTGTTGGTGGGTGAATAAATATACTTTGCGACGGCCTCAATGTAGGTTTCAGTATACCTTTCAGGTGTGCCACCTCCTCCTTTATTATGTTTGCCTATCTTTGATTTCTTACCCTATGCGTACCATATCGAGCATATGTGTGCGTGGATAAGAACTGTGCTAAGTTGGAGGGGGAGGGGGGTAAGTTAAGTGTATATATGGTGTACACTCTCAAATTTAACCCAATCAAAATGTAACCCAATTTAGAAATTAATAATATGGGAGCACAATAAAACATTAAAAAATGCATAAAAAGACCAGGTAATCAATATGTCTTGCTTGGCTGATGAAACGATAGAAACCAGCACTGTAGTTTAAGCTAAGATGGGTCTCCTAATGATGTTTTCCCTGTAAATGGAGCATGTCACTGCTAAGTGCTACAAATCGCAATGTTTCTTGTGCTCCCGGCATTCTGAAAAAACCAAACAAGCTTAGAAAGAGTATCAGATCGATGTGTGGAGAGGATCATATGCTGAGCCTCTGCTTATATAGTCAACACGTATGACAGATATCCAGTGTGCTGTCCCTGACTGCTGAGATATATGGTCAAGTCGAGAGAGAGAATATTTAGAAAAGAAATCGACATATTCATTCGCATGTGGCATAGATATGTTATACAGATCAATACATTTTATCTCAGGAGTTATAGTCTGCCAGAGGGAAAATGTCTTGCACGGGTCGAGTAAACCCAGATAGGTCTTCATCTCATTCTTATTTAATTATTTTCTTTACTATTTATATAGAAATATAGTTCAGAAACATAGCAATATATTTAAATATTTGCTCTATCTATGGATTGGTCAATTGATTGACTGCTCTGTCTGTCTGTCTATATTGTACACAAGGATCATATTGGTATTCATATTTGTAGCTCATATAACCCAGCTGATTGAGGGATGTAATCAGATTTTATACAAATTTCTGCTTGCAGTTTAACTAGATCACATACACGAATTATGTTTACTGGGAGGAATACAATCTGAAGTATCGAGATTATGCTTTCTGTGCCTCAAAAGATATCAGATACATATCGCTAACGAGGGTAACGAGGTTTTGCAAAAAGAATATCACCGGCCTTGTTTTGATCTAATTGATCTGTTACTAACATCGATTACTTATTTTATCACTTCTGAAATGTTTCCTTGTGATTGAGTCAAGCAGAGATCCATACTTTGTCATTGAACTCTAACTGATGACTTCCTGTTATAAATAAATACAATCTTGACTTTTGCATAATTAAATAATGAATTGCTCCTACTGTGAAGCATTGATTGATAATTCGACATGGTCTTCTTAATTCTCACCAACAGGTAACCAAGATGCTGGCTGTCGTTGTCATCCTGTTTGCACTTCTGTGGATGCCATATCGTACTCTGGTAGTGGTCAACTCTTTCATGGACCCTCCATATCTCAACGTGTGGTTCTTGCTTTTCTGCCGAATGTGCATCTATCTTAACAGCGCCATCAACCCAATCATCTACAACCTCATGTCTCAGAAGTTCAGAGCTGCCTTTAAAAATCTCTGCAAATGTGAGCAAAAAAGGACAGAAAAGGCAGTCAAGTACAACGTTCCTGTCTACTATAGCGTAATGAAGGACAGTTCCCACGACAGTCCCGATCACGACCTTACCATACAAGAGGACATCAATGGATTCCCTTCTAAAAAAGTCAATTTCACACAGAAATGCATAGACACCACAACAACTTATAGTGTGGCGTAATATTTCCCAGACCCTCGTACAATGAGTATTTTAATCGTTAATGTGATGTATACAGATAGTGTTGTTAAAAAAAAAAAAAAAGAAGGAATGATCATAATTGCCTGAAGCAAGATGGAATGAAATTAAGTGACTATTGAACTAATTTTGATCCGGATGTGCCAAATCTGTACAGTGGTTCGATTTTTCGCTGTCTCTAAATAATTGTTAATTTTTATTGTACAAATATATTGATATATAATTAACAAGGTTGCCGCAAGATTATCTATAAACTCCAATTATTGACTGCTGGCAAAAAAAAAAAAATCAATTATCATTCCATATTTCACTGTTTTAAAAAGCATCTTTAAAAAAAAAAAAAGTGCAAAATTAAATTAAGGCAGCTTTTACTGTTTTCTGTAAATATAAACATTAATGAATGATTTGTAGATAGTTTTGCCATGAAAACATCCGATGTAAAGTAAATTAATTTATGGTTAAATTATGTAAATTATTTAAAGAAGCAGGTACTAATAATTGTTAACCTGGTGTTTAATATATTATTCGAGTATTGTTACAAAAAAAGAGATCAATACTCTAAGGTTTGTTATAATATGTTTTTTTGAAAAATAAATGCAAGTTATATCAGGGTCTGTGTGTGAAGTTGTAAATGCATGTTTCTTTTTTTGTATTTTGCTATAATCTGGATATTTTTTTACATCTTACCAACTAAATAATTTATAAAATAACAATCAAATTTAGAATTAACAGCGCTATTCAATAAAGTGGGAATTCAAAATGAATTTCACATTAAAGGCCAAAGTAGTCAAATTTTATTGTATACCGCTCCATACATATTTAAGCTTAAGAAATAAATATTATATAATATTGTATGCACCTTAGTTTCAGTTTTTTGCGGTGAACATCCTTTCAAATGTTAAGTTAGGTACATATGACGGACACCAAAATCTCAGGATCTTTCGTGAAAAAAAAGTGATTGATGAGTAACAAATAACAGCTTCTTAGAATGCACCCTGTGAATTTGCCCATTTTATCTTGAGATGCTGCATATTTACCTCGAGAATCTGCCCCTTCATATGAATGTTTTGTGAATCTACCAATTTATTTTGAGATACCACCTGCTCACCTTGACAAACGTTTCATTCAACCCGTCTGCCCAGTGTGGACCTGCTCTATCTAGACACCTTATGAATAAGAGTTTCTTACCATTCATGCTCAGTTACATAACCCCCCAAAATCTGCTAACTTGCTCTTATAATCTGCCTGTTCACTGTGAGATTGCAGTAAATATGTTTATAGTATCAAGTTAAAGAGGACATCTAAGCAAAAAAACGTGTTCTGGTGGCATTAGACTGTAGGCCGTCCCCTGATTCTAGGTCAAAACATTTTATGGGGCAGTGTACTCATTTTTATCCATATTTGGATGGGAGCCATAGGCAATTTTAGGGGACACTCTCAGCCTATCATTGCTTTCCAAATATGACCAAAATTGAGATTGTTGAAGTGAAATGGAACTTAATATTGGTAATCGTTGAGCAGGAACCTGATTTTGGTCAAACTGTTTCAAGGTGGTTTGACCAAGAACCTGGAAATGGTGCCTGCAGCCTAGTAGAACCGTAGCCTCTAACTATATAATATTGTTCTAGTAAAAATAAATAAAAATAATTCAGGAATGAAAAAAAATATTGATATAAAGATATGTCTCAATTTCGGTTTTCAACCTGTTTCATTGGCTTAGCAGCTAGCGTAATTAATGTGTGTTTCATTGGAAATTTTACTTCTTTTATGGCTCAATGTCCAGGAATTGTGAGTACCCAACGCACCTATCTTTTACTGTTTTTCACCCAAACATCTAATATTACGTCCTGGTCCATTAATCTTCATGGGAAGGAGTAGAGTGAATGATGAACTCAGAAGTCAGTGTGCCCATTTAAGCCCATCTCATTGATGTGTCCTCATGACAATATCAATCTTAGATAGCTCCTGATAAGTTTGACAGTTTGACTACACAGTTTCAGGCAATGATGGATATCCTGGAACGAAAACAATGTTTTCAAACCACATTTCCTATGACACTTAGCCAGCCCTAAGGGCATTTGTGGCTAATCTCTGAAGCTCAGATGTTTCATGGCTGCGTTTCCCATGATGCTTAACCAAAGGTATTGATTATAGTTACATAGTTGTGTAGGTTGAAAAAAGACTAAGGTCCAACAAATTCAATCCATTCTTTTATGCTGCTAATTCAAAAGTATGCAAGAAAGCCAATTCTAGCCATTTCCAATTATGCCACAAAAAAGGAAAGAAGTTCTTCTGTACTCCATAATGGCAATCAGATTTCTCCTTAGATCAAGAACCTGTTTATATACATATCAATTATATCCTTAAATATTCTGTTTATGGGGGGGAAAAGCACCCAAGCCAGTTTTATCTATAGAATCTGATAAGACAATTCTTTATGCAGAGAATTCCAAATGTTTATTGTTCTTACTATAAAGAACCCTTTTCTTTGCTGTAAGTAAAAACTCCTTTCTTCCAGTCTCAATTGGTGACCTCTTTCCTGTTGTGTATCCTTCTAATGAACAGGTTAACACATAGCAGTCTGTACTAACTTTGTATATATCTGTATAGTGCTATCATATCCTTTTTTTCTAGACTTTCCTCATAATTAATGTTTTCCATCCCTTTTACTAATTGTGTAGCTCGCCTCTGCACTGTTTCTAATTCTGCAGTATCCTTCTTTCAAAATGATGACCAAAATTGCACTGCATATATATAAGGTGGGACCTTACCATTAATTTGTAAAGAAGAAAAATTATATTTTGATCACGTGAATTAATACCTCTTTTTATAGATTTTTAAGATTAAAGAGAAGTGGACCCAAGACAGAACCCTGAGGCACTCCACTTACCACTTTTGTACAATTTGAAAATTTTCCATTTACAGCTTTGCACTCTATTGATGGCTTACCATAGATCTTTCTGAACTTCATTTACCATTTAGTCTGGCTAAGCATCAAGGGAAATGTAGTGAAGAAGCATTGGAGTGCCAGGGTAATACTCTACTTTATTCCTTCGCATTTACTGTGATGTAAAACTACAGGGGTAATAATTGTTCATATGTGCTGGGATAACCTAATTTCTTTACCAAGTTCTGACATGCTAATCCACTTATTTTAAGGTACCTGATTAACATAATTTCACATAGAGATGTAAGTTACAATCCAGCATCAGTAGCTGATGAGTTAATAATAGTGTTCATAATGTTTTATGACTTTTGGAAACTATACTTCCACAATGTAATTTTGAACAGGAGGAACCTGTACAAAAGTATTTTCTAACAGTGTCTCTGAAATGAACGTGACCTTGGAACCATGCTAAGAGCAAGTCTGAAATCAGGACTGTTTCACTTAAAGTGGGACAGTTGGCACCTATACTGCAATAACACAGTTCTATTTAAAAAACAATATTATTTAATGGTCAAATACGAAACAGAAATTGTGAAGAAACATAGTAAAACATTTACTTTAAAAAAAAAATATTGTGTCTTCATTGTGATCTTAATAATGTTAAAGGAACACTCCAGTTACCATAACAACATCATGTAAATGAAGTTGTTATGGTGCCAGGAGACTCCAGGTGCACAGATACGAGATTCAGGAGCCGGATGCTGCCTTGGGGAACCTGCAGATCGGAGCTAGAGGCACAATTTGGAGTTAAACTTTTTAAGAACGGTTTAAGTCCTTAAGGTAAAAGTGCGCCCTGGACCTTCCTGGCACCATAACAACTTAATTTATGTGAAGTTGTTATGGTGATCGGAGCGTCCCTTTGAGCACACATTAAAGAGCACGGGATATAATAGAAGATAGAGAGTCTTATACACATGACAGCGAAGTGCAGTGATTTAAAAATTAAATTGCATAATCTATGCTAAATTAACTATTTTGGAAAAATTCTCCAAATCAGCTGCCATCACAGTTTGGCTACTATAGCCCAAATTTAGCAATTCGGTTTTCATTTTTTTATTTACAATTTGATGTTGAGTGAATAAACCCTAAAGGAATCATTTTCTATTCTTTTGAAGTTGCTTGCCTTAGATAAGAAAAAGTCAAACAGTTACAAAAGGCAGGAGGATGATGATTTAGGTCATTGATAAAGCATTAGACCGTGGGATAAATATCCCTTCGCTTGCTTCTCCAGGTAGTCTATTAATGATTAGAGCCTCACGTCTCTTACGGGAGTCCTGCAAATTGAATCTGGTGTCCAAACGCCAGAAAAATGACTGCTGAACCTACTCTGTCAGTTGACATCTGTTTGGAGTGGACAGGTAGTCTCATTCATCAAACTCCGGATCACTTTCACAGCATCCCAGCATGCATTTCTCTCTTTCACTGCGGCCAAAAATGGCAAATAAAAAATTCTTTAAATTCTTTAAATTTAGGAGTTCATATAACTAGTAGTTATAAAGAGATATTTATAGCGTGACTGTATTTAATATAGTTATATTTAGGGACAGGCAACAGTTCAATTGCTTTTACTGATAATTCTCACGTTTTTACTTTCTTTAGCTATTTTTGTGAAATGTTAACTTTAGGTGAGCTGATTTTAGCTTGAATATATATATATTTTTTTCCATTTTGACACTCAGATTTAGAAATTACGAGCTGGTCAGTTTTTATTCTTGTGTATCATCATTGTGTCAATTTCCCAGTGAAAAATGTATGATGCTGAAGGGAATTGGAAAATGAATGTAACCATTTTATTTGCTGTGATCTTTGTTGTTTTTCACTCCCTCCTTCCCTTTTCCTCACCCCTTTTTCCCTTTTCCTGTCAGCTTCCTCTCGATTTCCATTATCCCAAACTTATTTTAAATCTAATAGAGTGTTAAATTGTAATTCTATTAAAAGTATCTATTACAAATACGCTGATGTTGAAAATCAAACTCCATTCACACAACCATTCATACATGTACCGGCGTGAGAGTGGAGGCGTTAGTTGGAAGGAGCCTCAGGCAAGTCTGTAACCAGAGGCCAGAGTCTCCAAATGTCATTATATAACCCCAAGTTTTCAAGACTAACATATACTTCCATCTCCTTGAATCGTTGATAGTTAATCTGGTAGCTAGAGTATATTGTAATAGATACAAAGTTTGGGTTTGTTCTACCCA